TTTTGTCAACAACTTTATCTAGGAGATATCAAGTGTAGGTATTTATAGTTCACTTTAAAATGTCCACTGATTAGGCGAGCCATGGTAAAGTGATTGAGTTATTAGTTACTATATTAGTTTGACTCGTGTTAGGAACAAGAGATTTGATCATAACTAATGTACTAGGTATTGAAATATAAGTTTATTTTTCCTCAAATGTTTGAATTTGCGCAATGAGACGCATTGGTAATATTTACCTACTCTCAAAATCCTTTAGAGGAAACATTTTAATTTACATTTTACATTAAATAGGCAGTGTTAGTTTTTATATTAATAACATAAACATAGTTCTATGAATCTGCTATACATTCCTATAGTGGACTATTTGTTGTAGTGTATCATTGGTAGTTTTCGAGAAAGCAAAACCACAACAAATCCTCATAAATTGACCTAGTTAAACTTAGTTCATATAGGTAAACTGAATGGGAACAGACAAATGACTCACAAGTAACAATAAAGCCAAGAATACACTAAGGAACAAATGTCTCGAGACATATTGTATCGGTGACATGTTGAGCAAATCCTGCCGATGTCGCCTGACATATACGGTAACAACGGGCAACTTATTAATATGTCCACAGTGACGTGTTGTTGCCAGACATGTCGACCAAAGTCCGGCAATGTCACGCTACTTCACCCAATGTCCCTGGATACACGTGTCCCAGGATATTTGTCCCTGTATAATTGTATCCTTATAGGCCCAGTAGGGAAATATAGGTACACTCAAACTAGCGCAAAACAAAATCAACAACAACAACATAACATCACGCCTTTTATCCCCTAAGGGGTAGGCAGAGGTGCACATTATGCCACTGTATGATGTAACATTCACTTTTCACTATTTATGTTATGAGTCCCGTGTAATAGGGGGGACAAAATCACTATTTTTAAAATTTGTAGGAAATATACCAAAATTGTTGTTATAATACGCTTTATTGTTAAACAAATGATCCAAAAATATGCTTGTCATCAATTGTAACCGGATTACTCGATGTTTGTTAAAAAAAAAACTTTGCAATCTAATTGGACTCGGCGTTTGAACGTCCAAAGTCCGAAGTCCGCAAACCAGTTATATAAAAGGAGATCGCATAGGTTTTGAAGAGTTAATAGTCGAGTCGACTGACTAGTATTCTACATTGCAGACACAATATTGTTTTGTCTAGCACGAGTGTATGTGTTCTTGGAGTTGAGATTGTAAAGGTATGTAAAATAATTATGTCTGTACACAAAATAAGATTGGTTATCATGATTTCTTGAATACCCGTTTAATAAAATTTCTTTCAAGATTAATACAATTTCTTTCGAGAATTTGTGGTCCTGTAGTCTTAAATACTTTTTGAAAAGATTTGGTAAAATTTTCAAACTGGTTCAGTCATTTTGGAAGAATACCAACTCAATGCAAACAAACACACACAAATCACATTGTAATAATAACATAGATATACATGTAGGTAGTAGGTCTACAATACTTGTCACATAATAAATATCGATACTGGTTTGATCTCCAAGTTATTTTCGGATTTTTAAATAATGTCGTTATTAGACTAAACTTGTTCGCCTATAACTGATGTGTTTATTATGATGAGTATTAAAAAGTTATCAGTGTTTGTTTGACTGTTTGAGATAGTGATAAAAATATCGTCGGCGTTGATAAAGTCTAAAGGTCGGTCTTTCACTTTGCGTTGAGGTGATATAACTATACAAATACTATCTAAACTAAACGAAACTGTTCGACGCACCGATCTTTAAAATTTTGTCGATTTTGTATATTGCTTTAAGATTTTCCTTAAAAATGCGTCATAGAAAAAAAACAAAAACCTTTTTGTATAATGATCCGGGTAATTCAACCGCTAATCTATTATATAGGGAAGCATTAACGTAATCAACTAGATACCAATATTACCAAATAAAAATGTACTATAGTCAGGTTCTTTATTGGCAAAAAAATACTATACCATCTTCTTGAGTGGAGTTCATATGTATATAGCCCACTGTTATCTAAACGATGTTGTTTTGTTTTCGACAACCACGCGAACGAAGTCGCGGGCACAGCTAGTCTAAACTAAATTAATTCCGTGTTAAACAAATTAAATCAATCTGTCACTGGTATGCATATCAGAATTTCTTAATTTTGTATTCAACTGTATTATGGCTAGTGTATAATATGTATACTGTTGATGTGCCTTTAATAAATAAATAAATAAAAATAAAAATAAAATCAAATTAAACAAATTTCCGTGCGTTTAGGCGCTTTTGCCATACCTATTATTGGAAGCAAGTATAACAGCTCACACAAAGGACCCATTTAGATTTTAGTCAAATTTCCGTGGTGCTTGGCGATTGGGCTTCACCCAGTTCTATTTTTGTGCCGTTAGGCTTAATTCACTCTGTCTCCAGCAGTAATTCACCGAGGGAAGTGGAAACTATCATTTTTTTCTTCTCCTCTTATAATATCTTCTGATTCACTTCGTTGCGGGAACCAAGACAGTTATTAATGTCCCTGGGACGCGCTGGACTTCAGTGTTCCAGTGTTTTCATGGTTGTATCTACTGTAGATCCTGGCTTACAGGAGTTGCAGCGGTTTTGGGAGGATGTGGCGGGTTTATCCCTTAAAAGAACTAAATTAATGTTTGAAATTCTAAATGTGTGAATCTTAGTATAATATTATAAATGTGAAATTTTGTGCGTTTGTGTGTTTATGTGTTTGTTTGTATGTTTGTTACTCAATCACGTCAAAACGGCTGAAGGGATCGGGATGAAACTTGGAACAGGAATAGATTATAATCTAGAATAGCAATTAGGCTACTTTTTATCTCACGTTAACTCGTGAATCTAGTTATTGTTTATATTATAAATGTTTGTATTATTATTATCGTCGTAATACATAAATACAACATTAATTATATTATTACGGCTAACTCGCGTAAATTTGACACTCAACGCGGCTGTTACTCATGCTTGTTTAACTCGTCGAGTACCGGTTTTATAGACACAATTAAAGAACAATAGGTCGCGGTCACCGGTGACCGCTTGGTGTTTGACAGTTTAAAGGCCCTTATTGTAAATTAAATCTGATCGAGTAACAGTAATTTGAGTAAGACGTACCATCCAATAAAGGAACACTCTGTAAAAATTAGTACAACTTAGAAATTAGAAAGGACTTAACACTTATGTATGAGCTAAGTGTAATGATTACCATCAGACCACCACAGATGGGGCCCAGTAGGGCTGATGCTCGATACGGAACCGCGAAAGGTCTAACAAGTTGCCGGGGCTTTGACTCGAAGAGCTGTGCAACTGGCTGCCGCGCAACGTGTCGCGGGTTCGATTCCCGCACGGAACAACTCTTTGTGTGATCTACAGATTGTTGTTACGGGTCTGGGTGTCAAGTCTGAACTTGTTTGTTTGTAAACGCACTCACGACACAGGAGAAAATCCTATTGTGGGTCAACGTTTACAAAATAAAAGTGAAAATCTGACACTCTCTTTCTACCTAACCTAACTCTATGCAGGAAATGATTTTCCCCCTCAATAAAAAGTGTATAAACCATCATACGTCTATCTAGGTACAGTACTCAACATTATGTAAATATTACCCAACTACTCAACTTACAAGAATATTTCATCATCCTAATTTATTTGTACTAACTTCACTACAATTTTGTAGATTCTTTCTAGAGAGTATACATATCTATAACTAGTATATCTAAGTTCTTGTCTCGACATACTTTGATAAGGCAGAGCGCAGGTAGCTATGTACACACATTTACATAGTATTTTGTCAACTACATCATCATCATCTTCTAATATTTACGCAAACAATAAGTAAACTAAAACAGATAATTCTATGCAGTAAAAAACTAACTTCACGAATATTGCTTTAAGATTGAACAAAAAATGAGATAATTACACTTCTGCATTTAGATTAGGCCCATTAATTTTTTGCCAGTTATAAATATAATTGTAGACTATATCCTGCTCCTAACCACACACCAAACGTAATTTGGGAGATGTTCAAATAATAACAAAACCAAAGAAAAGAATTTATTGTCCCATTAGTGTAGTGACTGCTGAACGGGTACTGATAGTTCCAATACATATGTAGAAAGTCCTTGTGTGATCCAGAAACGCCCCAACGTGTACCTATGTAAAAATTATGTTTAACAAACACGACAAAGGAAAAATCTTAATGTAACCAAATATGGAGTGGAATTCTTTGCCAGAGTCTATATTTCCTGAAGGTTATAACCTGGGTGTCGTCAAGGCCCGAGTGAATAGGTTGCTTATGGGTCAACGTGCTCCATCGTAGGCCACATCATCGCTTACCACCAGGTGAGATAATGGTCAAACTTCAGTCCCGTTTAATATAAAAAAAAATATGTAGGTACGACTGAAGTTCCAATACATTTTACATTGTTTTAGCATGATTATGTGGCGTAACGTAGTTGTTTATTTGTCGGGACGAATATTAAATCACCTTTTTAATGTGTGTGTTTCCACAAACTTATTTATGGTTAGATTTTGACACTTTATTTTATATTTGAATCGAATAACCAGCTAGGAGATATCTTTTTGCAGACAAACTAACACACACTACACCATATAATTTCATAACACTGGGAGTGTCATTTAACTGATATTAATTATTACGATAGTCACCTAGATAAGGTATATCATTTTACACCTATTTGGAACATCCAGTCATACTGCAGTTCACACGATGATAATGCTTATATAGGTATTGTTGTCGCATTTGTTTTGTATCTAAACTCATAAGCGTACGCGCCGGCGCTGCCGTACTACAGTTGTACATCCACAAGCAATCAGCTTGGTCGTACTAACAGATAGCGTATTTAGTAAAAAAACATAAAATTTAACGTCAATTTTATCTCATTACAGATACGAAGAAGAAGAACACAATACAAGAACTAACATCAATTCTTTGAAGAAGATTAAACAAGATGTTTTTGTTACTACTGCCATTAGTGTTAGTCCTGGTGTACCACTACGTCACCAGAAACCACGACTATTGGGAGAAACGAAATGTGAAATATGAGAAACCTGTACCTATTTTTGGAACTTTATACGATAATCTCGTAGCCAAGAAGAGCATTACAGAAATATCTGTGGAGATGTACAACAAGTATCCAAATGAACCAGCAGTCGGGATATACCGAGGCACAACACCCGAGCTCATCATACGAGACCTAGACGTAGTCAGAAGGATTCTAAACGTGGATTTTGCATATTTCTATCCAAGAGGAGTAGGAAGGAACCCCAAGGAAGAACCAGTATTTCTTAATCTTTTCCACGTTGACGGCGACATGTGGAAGCTGTTGAGACAACGCTTGACACCAACATTCACGACAGCCAAATTGAAAAACATGTTCCCTCTAGTAGTGCAGTGCGCGGAGAAGTTGCAGACAGTGGGTGAAAACATCGTGAGTCGTGGCGGAGACTGTGATGTACGTGAACTGATGGCTCGCTTCACCACCGAGTTCATAGGTGCCTGTGGTTTTGGTATTCAGATGGACAGTATCAATGATGAGCACTCCCTCTTCAGAGCACTAGGCAAAAAAATGTTTCAAAGATCATGGAAGAATTATCTAGTTGTTGCATTATATGATCTATTCCCTGAATTTAGAACTATTATTCAAAAATCTTTACGTGAAACTGAAATAATGGATGCTATATCAGAAATAGTGGAGAACATTCGTAAACAGAGAAACTACAAGCCCATTGGACGTAATGACTTTATAGACTTACTGTTGGAACTCGAGAGTAAAGGTAAAATTGTGGGAGAATCTGTGGAGAAGAGAGACGCTAACGGAAAGCCAGAACAGGTAGAAATGGAGATGGATCTCACTTGTATGGTGGCACAAGTGTTCGTGTTCTTTGCCGCTGGGTTTGAGACATCTTCATCAGCCACAAGTTTCATGTTACATCAGCTAGCGTTCCATCCTGAGGAACAGAGAAAGATTCAGGAGAATATCGATCAGGTTCTAGCGAAATATGACAACAAACTGTGCTATGACTCCATCAGTGAGATGACAGCTCTGAGTAATGGATTCAAGGAGGCCATGAGACTGTTCCCCTCTCTGGGCACGTTGCACAGGGTGTGTGCACAGAAATACACAATTCCAGAAATGGGTATCACCCTCGACCCCGGTGTGAAGATCATAGTTCCAGTGCAAGCTATACAAGTCGATGGAAAATATTTTGAAAATCCCACAGAGTTTAATCCAGACAGGTTCAACGATACGTCTGCGGACAGACATAAGTTCGCATACCTGCCCTTCGGTGAAGGACCCAGACAATGTATTGGTGAGTGTTATTTTGTTAATCACTTATTTTATTAATCATCATTATTGATAACAATAATTAATTAATAACTATTAATAGTGTGCACTACTGGTGTGACTCATTATTTAAACGCGTGCTAAGAAAAATGCAGGTGAATTTATTTTAACATCAAATGATAAATCTTCGTAATTTAAAATAATTTTATGATGTTTACATTAATTATCACCTCATGCGATGTTTTTGTGTAATTAAGTAGCAAAAAGCGTCTTTAAAATATGAATTTAATAATTTATTTCATATAATCAGTCCTAATTTAAATAACGTAATGCTGATGGAGTAAAGATAAGCCGCGTGTATTGTCGTAGATTTTTTTTTAATATGTTAAGAAATCTTTTATTTTTCGTGTTGACTAAATAATGACTTATTATTTATAGTCATATTTATAGTTTTTGTGTTTATTTTGTGAATAAAACAAACATAAATAAACGTATTTACTATATATTTCAGTGTTACAAAATTGTAGACCATTAAAACATTAATTGTTGCATTGAATGCACTTAGGCGCTTGACAAAATTACAAATATAAACGACTTACAAAAAAGGAGAAGGTTGTATTCACGAGTTGTCTAAGACTAACTTCAATCTCGCAGCTGCGCCCGTACAGAAATGAATAAATGTAAAAAGATGATGTCTAGTCTATGTTACTCTCTGAAAAGCTACTAAGGTTTTCAGTGGTGATTTTTTTAGGAATTTGTCCACTCATACGATGTACATAAACAAATCGTAGCTTATTCAATGTACATGAACAAACAATAATATATTTTCCTCTTATTATATTTGTATAAATTTCTGCATTTAAGTGATTGACAAATAGGCTCATCAATTAAAGCTTTTTCCTAAAAAAAGCTATTGCATAATTATTTATTATACAAAAACGTTGCTCATGAATATGAGCCTCTAGCATGGCTTGAAACTAGTCGAGTCCCTCGTCAAATAATTACGTGAGTAAGCCGAAAACATAATAATATAAAAACGTTGCATCTCATAAATATTGTATTGACATCTATAAACTTCTTAATGTCAATTACTAATGTCTAAGCAGTAATTACTGTATAAGTGAATGATAAATTATCTATTTACCATTCGTATAATAAATCAATAGCGTAATTATTTCATCCCTTTGATTAACGCCAGTCTTCCTTTAACCCTTATGATAACTTATTATTTATAACTTCAGCCATTATCCTTAATGCCAGATTTTGTGCTAACTACTGAACATTCCTTGAAGGATCCGGTATTAGAACCCAGTTCAATCAATAGTCACTTCTTCTAAGTTCTACTGGCAATCTTTGGTAGGACGCCAAAGAGCCATCAGACCACCTCAGATATGGCCCAATAGAGCGGACCTCCAATTCGGAGCTGCGGAAGACCGAACCCGTTACCGCGGCTTTAGCTCGAAGCAAGAATAGGAACGGGGTGGTTTTTATTCAGTAAGAGTCTGACACTCCATCTCGCCTCACCCTGGGCGAGAGAAGTCATTGGATGATTTTTCCCTCTTAACAATTTTTTGGTAGGCGTGACGCTTATTAATCAAGACCAACAACATGAACCCCATTGAAAACCTACTTTGAATTGTTTTTTTATTTGTATTAAATATCTTTTCTTCTCTCTTCAGGTGCCCGACTTGGCGAGATGCAGTCCCTAGCAGGACTAGCAGCAGTACTACACAAGTTCAGCGTAGAACCAGCAGCCAATACAAAACGCCATCTAGAGGTCAACCATGGAAGTAACACGGTGCAATCAATAAAGGGAGGATTACCTTTGAAATTAAGACTGAGAAGCAAACAAAGTCAGGTTGCTGCCTAGTTTTATTAGAAATGTTGAAATTAGTGCTTGTATTATATCGAAACACACAGGTAAACTACTAACTCACGTAAATGTTTGAGGTTGCTCGATGGTTTCAATGCACGACCGGAGTCCATAATCAGGTAACCACTTGAAACTATGAACAGTTACGTAAGTTGACAGTGTGTTGTAATTAGTTAAAATATTTGTTATTTTTGTAATACTGTTCATGTATTGTTATGGATAATATTTTTAATTATATTTATACAATTAGGAATATACTCAAGTGTTATTTTTCACACTATACCTACTCAATGGGTTTTTAGAACCATTTTAATTAAAGTAATTTTTAAATTAAAGGCCGAGTGGTCGCAAGTGCGACTGCCGGGCAAGAGGCCAAAGTGTTACTGGGTTTTTCAAAAAATCCACAGTAGTAGCACGGAGTCTGAAATTGTGCCCGGTATATGGCAATAGGCTCACCCCCTATTACATGGGACTCATAACATTAATTTGTGAAAAGTGGGTGTTAAATTGTACAGTGGCATAATGTACACCTCTGCCTATCCCTTCGGGGCTAAAAGGCGTGATGTTATGTATGTTTAATTAAGTAATAAACAAAATTATTAATTGAGCCTCTTTATTTATCTCTTCGAATGATTCAAGTGCATACACAACCTTTTGATCAAATTAAACTTGTAAATACATAATAAAATACGTAAAATATTTATTTGTAATCAACAGATATCTTTGGAAGATTAATAAAGTATAGTACACTAAGTCATTTGACTGACTTTGTAGTAATCTAACCTAAAGATTAATTTTATGGAACATATTTATCTACCTATATTACATATACATACTGTATAGGTAGTATGTTGCTGTGGAAATTATCTAGATCATGTACATAATGAGGAAAAACAAGCAAATAAATAACTACGTAAACAATTTGTTACTATCTGAACTAGCAACATCAGCAGTTCATGGCAGTGCACTGCTTGACTATGGACTCATAGTCTATCAGGAGCGTAGCTAGCGCCGTATATGCCGTATCAATTATACGAGGCCCCCGGGTCACAGGGGCCCCTTAAGCGCGTAAGCAAAAATTAATATAAACTTCGCAAATTTTTATTTTAGAAATTACATAAGTCAAAATAAACAATTTTTCCCTCGTTGCGTTAAAAAATTGGCAAAACATAAGAAAAACTAAAAGTCTAAAGTCATCATAATCCGAAAATTTGAGCAGAAATATGGGGTTGCCTGGAAAGATCTAAGGGAGTATTGAAAATTGGCAACTTTTAACACAACAAGACAGAAAAGTCGTCATAAAGTCACCTTCATGACGTTTCAAATGAACCGTCTGATATCACTATCACTATCAGACGGTTCATTTTTGTCTCTCATTCGGCATTTTTCACTCAAAATACGTCTGAACATGAGAATGAAACAACAATGCAAAATCAATTCATTAGTGAACCGATCCAACGGTGCTGAATTTTGGAATTCAGCATCATTCACTCCTAGTCGGAATCAAAGAGTATAATAAGTATAGGGGATCGGAATGAACAAAAAATTAACTGTCACATAATAATAAACTGATTCCGAGACACACGTCATCAATCAATGACATGTTTTTATAAACAATGAATAAACTTTCGTCCATTTCTTTGTCATTCCACTAAAATCGTCTGAACATGGAATGACAGATAAATGAAACACTCCTCACTTTTTTTAAGGGGGAAAATCATCGAATGACTGCTCCCGCCTGGGTGAGGCGGGAGGAAGTTTCAGACTCTTACTGACTTACCCTGTTCCTACTCCTGCACTTCGAGCCGGAGCCTCGGCAACCTTTTAAATCTTCCGCGAAATGAAACATTCACTGGGGTGAATATTCATTCGAGTGGACTGTCAGATATCACCTTTTATTAAAAGGTGTTTGTCATAATCTTATTGCTTGGCAGGCTGCTCAAAATAAATGGCTAACACGCATCAAGCAGCTTGCTGCGACCTTTATCAGCTGACCTTTATCAGCATGATTCATATTGAAATAACAGCTATGAGTTAGATACTTAATTAGTTGATTTAAAATAAATGATAATACAAAAAAAATACGGGGTGTCCCTGGAAGTATAGTCCACGTGGAACAGAAGCGAGGTTATTTCCTAAGTCTTTGCATGTTCGTTATCTAAGTAAAAGTATGGTAATGAGAAAGATTCGCTCTTGTATAAGTCTATAAAGAAAATTACATTGGAACCTCCGACAGCTTTTTGTTTGTTCTTTGAACTTAATGGAAAATCATTGAACAAAACGAAAACTAGTCATAACTTTTGAACCATGAAGAATCGGACCGCAAAAAGTTAATAACACCTTCCCTATACCCCTGTTCTTTTTGACCCATACTTCTAGGGACACAGTGTACAGGTGTGAAATAATTCTGCTAATTATATCTTCTCTTGTAATCTTAAAGATTGTATAGAATTGACTACAATCAAATCATTAAACCCGCAATAAAAGATTTTATCTATGATAAACAATATTAAAGCAGTCTACTAAATTCTCTGTATAAGTACATACATATACTGATAATACATACACACACACATATTGTGTTCAATAAAATCTAGTGATAAGTAGTTCCAAATCCAATGTCACTGGGGTCATTGGAGTCAAATAAAAAAAACTGGGGTCATTGTTCTGAAGTATTTGTTTTTGTGTTTTACTGTTTATAACTATCGTAGACAGGATTTCGTCTCGACCTTAGCTTGACCAAAGTATAAGTATTAATTTTTTACATTGTGAGTTAGAGTAGTGCCACATTCCTATTTCCAACGCATTTGTAACTTCTCCAGTTTTAGAAAAAGCGAGCGGCGCTTATACTTATTAGAAAAAGCGAATACATTCCAGTTATTTACAGGTTCATTGACGTAGATTGAGTTTGGTACAGAAGTTCCCTGCATGTAGATGGTAAAGATCCGTATCATCTAACCACAAATTCCTAGTTAGGTGTAGTTAGCAGGCTTTTAAAGTCTAAACAACATAACATAACATCACATAACATAACATCACGCCTTTTATCCTCAAAGGGGTAGGCAGAGGTGCACATTATACCACTGTACAATGTAACACCCACTTTTCACTATTTATTTTATGAGTCCCATGTAATAGGGGGTGAGCCTATTGCCTTATACCGGGCACAGTTCCAGACTCCGTGCTACTACTGAGAATTTTTTAAAAACCCAGTAAAGTAGCTTTTAAAGTCTAAACAAGTACAATTTTAATTAATAACAAAATATTGAGTTGTGGAGCGCCACCCCTAGACCGTGGCGAGTGGCTAACTACCCATTTGATGTAGCCATATCGTAATAATGTAGGTAGGTAGGTCTGTATGTTAGACGCGATTCCGTAGCGGCTAGATGTTCCCGTCAGTAGGTTGGGGGGAGTGCGGCCGAACGGACGCGCACTACACCCAATCTACTTCAAAAGGGTAGAGTATATTCAAAGGTTTGAGTGTTAACTGAATGAAACTAAATTCCCGGCAACTGAATAAAAAGGAAGGAATAAAAAGGGTGAGATCCCTTTTTATCCAGTTGCCGGGATTTTTTATGGATAGGAAGGCAAACGTGTAGACGACTGTGATGATAAGCAATCGACGTCCATTAAACACCGACCAACACCAACAGCGAAGTTAAAAAATAATTTCTAAAAAAGTTTCCACGAAAGGAGTGTGGAATCGTGAAAATGAGAGAAGACTGTAAAAAACTTACCTTGAATTTTTTTAAGAATAAAATATTCTAAACGTCAGTCATAATAGTATCAAATAAAAAAAAAACAAACTATGACAAAGATCGTTTCAAGAAGTAAATAATTTACCTATTATCATAATATACTTTACAATACATAATAATCTACTTGAATTGTTTTAATTTAATATATCTAATTGTTTACGTGATTTTGTTCTAAGGATTTTATTTTATAAGAATGTCTTTCCTATTTGTAAAAATATATTATGGACCCTGCAATACATTTAATAGCTGCCAACACAAACCCCAGTTGCTAAATGGTGTTAGAGGTAACTATCACATTCATTTGTTCATCTTCTTCATCATCATCATCATTAACAGCCTTTTCTCGTCCACTGCTGGATGTACACCTCTCCAATGGCACTGAGCGCAATCTTCAGCTCTTCTCATTCAACCACTGCCAGCTACTTTGCGGATATCGTCACTCCACCTAGCTGAAGGGACGCCCTACACTACGTTTGCCTATTCATTTGTTACACGTTTCAAACTGCTCAAAGTTTTCGTTACATCTCCAAACAGTGTATAAGGACATAATTACGGTAATATTTCAGAATTAAAATACCTACCCAATACTATGAGTGACCATATAATAAAACTGCAAACCTTGATCGGCATTTGCCCAAAGATAAATAATACCGTCCTGCTGCAAAAGATTTAAACAGAATTTCCCACTTTTACTGCAGAGAAAAGTCCTCTTCTTACGCGGAAAATAAAGCAAACTGTTTGTAGGTTTTTTTTAAGGGGGGAAAATCATCGAATGCAATCATTCGATGATCCTCCCGCCTGGGTGTGGCGGGAGGGAGTGTCAGACTCTTACTAAGTACTAAAAACCACCCCGTTCCTTCTCCTGCACGTCGAGCCGGAGCCCCGGTAACCCGTTAGGTTCTCCACAACTGTTTGTAGGTATAAAGTGACAAAAATAATGAAGAACGGCAGGGCGCCACCCTTATATGGTGGACATTCTTCCTATTCCAATCCAAGCGTTTCGCATCAAGCTTCCTTTTCTTCGCCGGAATTTGTTCCGGCAAAAACAACGTCTTCAAGTCCCGAGTGAACAGGTTGCTCATAGGTAAGTGTGCTCCATCGTCGGCCACATCATCGCTTACCACCAGGCGAGATGGTGGCCAAACGTCAATCAATCAAATATAAAAAATGAACTTTATCTTCACAGAACGTCTAATGAAAATGGGATTTCGATTGAGCATGATACCAGTGAACTCTATCAACTATTGCATGATTGAAATGTGTGGACATGAAGTAAGATTCAAATCATATTCTACTATCTTCGTTACACAGTGTATTAGATTTTATCACATATTTCCCGCGCAAATATAACCAATGTCCGACTCCATACTCCTAGCTATAAGTAGATAAGCAATATTTCAAGTATTTGTAATCTATATACCTTCCTAAAGGTACCAAAGAAAAACAAACTGAAATTCGCATTTAAAAAGGATTATAACACACGATACAACATGTCACGCATCCCCTGCTCCTATCTTATAATTTGTTATTAGCCTATTTTTGATAATGGATTGGAGTTTTTAAGGTGATCATCAAGCAGAATACGTAGGTACACTGCTGAATAAACGGCTTTTTCTTTCATAAGGGGAGGTTTGCCATAATTTCCTTAGCTTAGAAGATAACTTCTTGCAGTAAGGTATCCGATTTAGACGGAGTACCTGCCCGACAGTCCATGTTGTTATCCACGGTTGCATTTTTAAGCTATATCCGATTTCAATGGGTTACAGTTTTTCTACATATAAACCATATTCCACAGGTATTCCGGTGTAACATAAAACACTTGAAATTCAACCATTCGTATGAGCAAGACCCAGTGTGTCAGCGGGCCGTGGAAGCTGTGATGACATCGGCCGCCAAGTTCCGCCACGCTCGAGCCACACTATGGTTCTGGAGTGTGTTGAACCATCAAATGTTTAGAAGAACCAAATACCAACCCAAAGACTACTGGCCGGTGGAAATTGACTGGACAGAACTTGCGCCAGTAAAGGAGTGTATCGATTGCTGTAAAATTTTAGTAAAATATAATAAAGATAATAATGATGCAATGGAATACTCTGATGAAGATGACAGCACTTCCTAATAATGTTCGTAAGACTGGAATTTTTCAACTCATTGTACCACTATAATCTTAAAGATCATTTTTAATGCATAAATAAGGATGCTAACGGTATCCAAGCGTAGGTTCCTTCCAAATCTTACGTATAGTCAGAATTTTAATTAGATTCCAGATTTGACAATAGCTACTGTCATTTTGTGAAATAATGATACCACATATAATAGTGTAGTGATGCACACAAAAATCGATAAACAATCAGTGTGTGTGTTTTATAATAAATGTTACAGAAAGTGACAGGATAGCGACAGCGATGACGACGACAATTTATAAAATAACTTATTACCATAATACGTCTATCTGTTTTATTTGTCATGTTCCTTCATGATTACATTTTTTTATTTATTTCACACATAATTATAAAAGAAACGTCTTAGATCGTTAATTAATCGTCAAAACTAAATTATCGGTTCAGAAATATTAAATTTCCTGATATACTTAGTTCACTAGAGTAAAATTATAATTATTATAACCGAGAAGAATCGATCCAGAAAGCATTTCCATATCGAATAATTTCGCAACGTCACTATTTAGTACTTGTCATAACGTTGCCACACTGAAATTGTCAAATCTGGAATCGAATTAAAATTCCGAGTATAGGTAGGTATCTAGGTATTAATATTTGTCTTTGTAGAACTTATTGTTACGAGTACCTACTTTAGTTCATAATAATTTGATAATACATTTCATTATAAGGAATGTTTTGTAGTTTTATTAGTTGTATAGAAATCCAAAATTTGTGATAGTGAGCCTAGCAGTAATGCTCAAACCTTCTCCCTGCGAGAAGAGGTTTTACTCAGCAGTGGGTATTGATAGGCTGTTAATGACGATGATGATAGTCCAGTAGTAAACTATTAATGATGACTTATGGTAATAGAAAATGTGACACTCAGTTAATTCGATCTACGAACTGAGGGCTTAGTACGAGTTTCTTTTTCGTTTAAAGTAATCGAAACGAGACGGCGTTCGGCGTTCTGATTGGTTGGTTCATTGGCGTCGGCCAATCAGAACGCCGAACGCGTACTCGTTACGATTACTTTAAACGAAAAAGAAACTCGTACTAAGGCCTCTGAATACCTTTGAACTAACGAGTACGCGTTCGGCGCTGTGATTGGCCGGCTCTATTGAACCAACCAATCAGAGCACAGACGCCGTCTCGTTTCGATTACTTTAAAGTTTAAACGAAAATGAAACTCGTACTACATGAATTTTTGTTTTGGAATCATTTAATTTCTACGTAGATATAGTAATTCGGAATGTTAAATGTAAACTAATTATCACGAATTTGAAGTTTGGAATCACTTTTCATATCCATATGAAAGAGTCTATTTTAATAACGGGACAAAGTTAGCATATTTAAATACATATACCTACAAGTTCTCATCTTCCATCTGAATTCATGAATCGTTTTCTTAACTAGAACCTTGAACTTTTTAATAGAGCTGTCCAAACCTCTTCTTTATATTAAAAAAAACGGTGACAGCTGTTGTCATTAATGAAATATTTTCGAGTTATAAATATTGTTCATAATAATGATTATAATTTACTAATTGTGGATGTACGTGATTTTGTTTAATCATTTTATTTTTAAGAATGTCTTTTCTTAGTGTGAAAATATATTATGGGCCCTGCAACACATTTGATAATTGTATGCATAAACCGCAATTTCTAAATGGCTTAAGAGGTACTCAATACCTATTGTACTTTCTCATTTCTGCAATATATGTACCTTCGATACCTTCCTAATGCCTATGCAAAAATACTCTATTTATAGATGCATCATAGCTTATACCATCAAGCAAGATAGTGGCCACACGCCGACCCATCTATCAATACATATAAAAATGAATCACTTAATGTGTGGCTAAGCGCAAATCTCGAAAACAGCTGAACCGATTTCGGTAAAACTTTTTTTTATTTTTGTTGGCTTTGTTATTATTTGTAGAAAGTTTAGCATAAGACTGCGAAACATATTTCGCAGCGTCCACTAGTTATTATAAAAATAAACATGATTATGATGATGTCACAAAGACCTATACAAGCTTCCCTGTGTGCTTATTACCTTCCTGTATTATTTGACAGAATATCTGATCAAGCGGGGGTACCGAGTGCAGCTCCGCCCTGTACGGTTCCTAAACTATTGCATGATTGAAATGTGTGGACATGAGGTAATTAAAATTACCAATAACATTAAGGCACAATAGGTACCTACATTATCTACGGTAATCGGTAGAATAAGTACCTGACTGCCTCGTTGGCCGAGTGGTCGCAAGTGCGACTGCCGGGCAAGGGGTCTCGGGTTCGATTCCCGGGTCGAGCAAAGTATTACTGGGTTTTTCAAAAATTCACAGTGGTAGTTACGGAGTTTGGAATTGGGGTGGTCCGGTATATGACAATTGGCTCACCCCCTATGACATGGGACTCATACCATAAATACTGAAAAGTGGGTGTTACATTGTATAGGGTCATAATGTACACCTCTGCCTACCCCTTCCGGGATAAAAAGACGTGATGTTACGTTATGTTATGTAAGTACCTTACTTGAAATATTGGCAATAAATCGTTTAACAGTTCATGCAGTCAGTGTTCTTCTGCAACGGTGTCGAACACTTTCAACCACCCCAGAGGCAGATTAAAACGAGAATGCACCTTAGGCAAGCAGTTCGTAGGTGCTCATAATTTTTTTTTTTTTTGGCCATTCTATGGCCAATTTGGAACGCGAGTTTCGCAGCGCTTCTTTGAAAACCTGGCGCCCTAGTAATTGCCAAATTTATCTTAGGATTTTTTTTATGGGGGGAAAATCATCGAATGACTGCTCCCGCCTGGGTGAGGCGGGAGGGAGTGTCAGACTCTTATTTACTAAAAACCACCCCGTTCGTAATACGGCTCTAGCTACCGCGAACCCAACTTAGGAACTAAACTTTGCAGTTTCAATAACAAAAGCAATAAAGTTGAGAAACTATTTACCCTATAGCGTATCTACTTGTTGTGCTGCCACCGTTGCTTAGTAAATTATTGATAATTAATAATAATTTATTCACAGGTATGGCGTGGTAGCATAAAGAACTTTAAATTCAACACACCTTTCGATCAAGATCCAGTTTGCAAGCGTGCCGTGGAAGCAGTGATAACATCGAGTGTAAAATTCCGTCGAGCCAGAACCTACCTCTGGTTCTGGTCTCTATTAGACCATGAACTCTTCAAACGAACCGGATATGGACCAATGGACAACTGGCCAGGCACTGTTGAATCCGTAGAATATAGTGACATTAAAGAATGTTTAAAATGCTGCAATATTATGGAGACTCAACGCCTCCATGACTCAAATGTTAATATTTCTAAATAATATTAATAATTACTAAAGTATGAGTTACTATTAGTTTAATCTAGCTTCACCTGGGCTTTCCCGGCAAACTGATGATTTCTGTTTTTCTTTCACAAAGACAAAAAGGAATTAAACTTGTTCACCTCTTCAGTCATGCCTGACCACTGCCTGACAAAAATAAATAGGAATTTAATCTTTATTTTAAATACTTTATACATACATAAGTAACGCATAAGTCTAACTGTTACTAAAAGGTAACTATGTAGTCTTATAGTTTATAGTCTAAGTAAATCTCAAACAAATATTGATGAATTCCAGAATTGACACTTCTAATTCTGGAATTGCAAAGCTTAGATATAATAAAGTTGTTATAATAGGTAATTTATTTTGTATGTTTGTATTATTTTTAGTCGTGTATTTCATAATGTTACGTTTTTTATTTTGATGTTAGCTAAGTAGCTACAAGTTCGGTCGAATGGTACGACTCGTACTAATTGGAATGCATAAAGGAATCTTTATTTCTATTTTATTGAATTTTTATTTTATTATATAATCGTATTTAGGCAAAGTATAATTTATGTTGTGTCAGTAATATCACGAAATGTGCTGTATAGTTACGATAACTACACCTTACACAACGCAACTAGCCTATTGTATTGATAAGGTCTCTAAGCGCACAGTAGGCAATGAACCAGTCTTATCTCCAGTTTGGTGCGCGTAGCCTGTGACTATTTTGTTCAGAGGCCTGAAAACCCACTTGCAACTTTTGTTGGTAGTTACGTCTATGGTCTCGAATGAAAACTTATTGTGGACTTTAATACATAGACAAATACTTATAAAACACAATAAATATTCTATAGCATCTATGGAGAACTACAAAAAAAGTTGAAATTGTCTCAGTTTTTGGCTAGTTTTGAGCAGATATTTTGTAAATTCTTTAAATTTTATTTCTAATCAGTAGTCCTACGTAAATAAAGTGTTTTTAGTTTAGAATAATGTCTTTTTTGTATGTAGTTATATACTACGGCCCTTGCGAAACATTTGGTATACATATTCATAAGCCGCAAATTGTGTACGGTATAAGAGGTAAGTGTATTTTAATTCAGGTATGTTATACTACTTATATCGTGCCTGCTTGGTTTCAAGTACAAATTGTTTTCTCCATAATTCTTATGACGAAAATAATATATAAAACTTTATTCATAATTCAATAATACAAAAAAAAATACAAATATAATTATGGTAAGTAAAATTGATCTCACAAAATTAGATGCCTGCAATATTGAGAATCGAATTACTTATTATCAGTTATCTGTCCCATGATGCTATTATGGGCCACCTGTATAAGAGAGATCTCCATAATCTCGAGGCCAGGCAGAAAAGATTGTGGTTTGTCAGAGAATGCTACTGCCCAAATCATAGTCAGCTGTAGTGGGAGGAATTTAGCCGTAAATGCTGGTGATAAATATAATGTTCTAATCTGCAATCAGTAGGTAAAGCTAATGTATAAATAAACCTAATAAACCTATCAAGCTTGTAACTTACAGATGATCTCCAAAACAAGGGTTACCGCGTCAAGCTAGTTCCAGTGAAGTGGGCAAATTATTGTATGTTGGAAATATGTGGACATGAGGTAAGACTAGAAGTGGATTAAACATAGAGAGCGCCCTAGGCAGGCACATCTGGCGCCCCTAAGTTTTTTTTGGTGCCGCATAACACGGCGCCCTAGGCAGGGCCGTTTAGACTACCCTGGGGCCCTTGAGCACCAGAGCACACAATCAATCGGGGCCCTTTTTGAATTTTATTTTTGTTTCTGGGTGCGTTTATAAACATACAGATCCAGAACATTTTGTGGAGCACACAAAGATTTGCTCCGTGCGGGAATCGAACCACAGCCGATTACCGCGCAAAATGTAGCGAGTGTGTGTCCGTCGAAGAAATTTTCGGTCCTTCGGGGCCCCTGAAGATAAGAGTAAAGACGGTACCTACTGGCCCTAGGCACTTGCCTAGTTTGACTTAGAGATAATCGGCTGTTGGTAACATTACTAGTTCAGTAGATACTACATTATCCTGCTTTCTACCCAGGCTATCCTAATACTATGTCGCGGAGAACCTAACGGTCGCGGAGAACCTAATGGGTAACCGGGGCTCCGGCTCGACGTGCAGGAGAAGGAACGGGGTGGTTTTTAGTCAGTAAGAGTCTGACACTCCCTTCCGCCTCACCCAGGCGGGAGCAGTCATTCGATGATTTTCCCCCCTTAAAATAAAAAATCCTAATACTATAATTTATAAACTACTACTACCCTAATAACAAATTAGATAATGAAAGGCTACAGAATCTTATATTTCAGGTATTTCGCTGTAATTTAAAGAATTTAAAATTTAACACGTGTGTCAAGCGCGATGTAATTGCTCAGAGGGCAATAGAAGCTGTGTTGGTATGTTCATCCATGTTGCGACGCGCTCGCGCCTACCTCTGGTTCTGGTCTCTCATAGACCATCAACTCTTCAGACGAACGAAATTCGGGCCACAGGACTACTTTTTAACTAACGCAGACCATGGCCGTCCTTTCGCAAGTCCTAGAGATTGTGTGAAATGTTGCGGTATGTTTATCGAAGGAGAACTCGAGTGCACCGAGTGTCGAGCTCTCAAAGATAGAAAATGTAATTTCCCTGATTGTCGCTGTACTAAGTAATGACCAGCGCGAGCGATGATAACAAAATTTTTAAGTTACGGCAGTGAATCTCAATAATATGACGTGAATTACCGAATGTAACACAGTAAGCGACAGACTTGATTCCAAGCCATTTACCTACTGTAATATTATTTTTGTTAATTATATAGTGCTTTTATTCTTAAAGATTTTATTGTTACTTATTTAATTTTAATTGTTTAATTTTATATGCTGTTCTAGATTTGAATTAGGTATTCATTAAATACTTTTTCATCGGCTACGTTTTTTTTTAACAACTTTGAAAAATTTATCAAGTTTGCATAGATAGGTATTGATATGTTAAAAGTTAAGGTTTGCGGTACACTTCGGGATATAAAAGGAAACACTCATGATTTCAGATTGTTTGTATTGAAACAAATTACAATGTTCCTCTCGTGATCAGTCACACTGGCATTAATTTTAAACAATTTTATTATACCTAGTATAGCTAATAGTTATTGTTTTAGGTCAACGCAGGCACAAACACCTATTCTGACCGACTTATTACTTTTAGACGAAACTTGAAAGAGAATTGATAGCTGTAACCTTAAAAAATGGGTAGCTAAAGATATAGGGCAGCCAAGAAAATTCGTTTTTTAATTGGGAATGGCATTTCGCAGGCAGTCTTATCTGCATAACAGCTTCTACGCATGCCCATTTGGCACACGCCTTATATGAGAGGTTATCCGCAGTGATTTTGAGATTCTCAAAGGAATAACACAATACGATATAGAAGGTATAAAAATGACTTAAGACGAGAAATTTGCACAAGTTTCACTAGAGCTGCAAATGGTCCACTGCCCAATGTCGACATTCCAAGTCCATGTTTATATCATATTTCTCAGTTTTAATGTAGCGTGGACATAACATGTAATACATAAATTCATTATTAAAATGACATGCAAATATTAAGGAAAATCTCACTTCAATTTTGTTCCTCCCCAAGTTTAAGCCTTATAGACATGAAAATGTACCAGTTTTATATACAAATTGCATAACAAGAGGAAGCATGTAGATGAATATTGGACATTGAATAACAAAGGTAGCATATAAGCGTCCGATAAACTATAGAAACATACGTACAGTGCAACATGTAATGCAGGTAAATAAGGCTCTAATTGTGCGTGTGGTTGCCGAATACACTTTAATGTTATCCATTTAGTTTAAAATTGTACATCGTATTTACCCCAGCGTAATTTAACAGTAAATGTACTGAATCATGCCAAACGCCACCGCGAATAAGATTTACGTTCGAGTAAATAAAATGGTATTCAATGCTCAATTTTGGCGAGAGATGTGGTGACTATAAAACAGGCTTATACATAATAGTGCTTGCTACCTCTCTCGACATTTTTATAGCGTTATTAGAGTAAAAACAGTAATATAACAAATTACATAGATCACAAGTTGCACAATACACATTTCCACCATTTTCCAACCAATCTCATTTCAGTATAAAAACACACTACCTACAATTTTAAATAATTTTATTTAATTTACAATGGTGAAATAATATCGAATTATGATTAATAGATACAAGTTTAAAGTTAACTACATACACCTAACATGGAATTAACAATAAAAAATATATGTATTTTAGCGTCGACGGGGAATACATACGCCGCCTCCGCTCCGACCGCGCCACGCCCTACGAATATGTAAAAAAATAAACATACCAAATATTTTGTACACAACACACGGGTTACGGTCATACAGTCAGCGCCACGGAACAAAATATACGACAACCTTTGGAATCTATTCGTATTCTAGTCCCACCAACTTACGTGTTCCAGCGGCTAAAATTGAAACTAAAGGACGCCCCAACAAAATGGCGTAAATACTTTTTAAATAAACTAGAGCCACCGACTGAACGTCGTAAGTTGGTGTTACTATCGAGAACTTTTCTTAACATTAAAACATTTCGAAACTACACGTTGCATGTTTTGTTCCGTCAAAGTCCACGCACGCAAATAATACACGCACAGAAACCCTTAGAAATATAATTATGTTCACTTGTTGAATAACAATGTATTTACCGAGCTTCAGTACCTCGAAACTTACAGAATGTTATAGAATTATTGCTTCATCTAGTATTGTATTCACGTCACTAAGTTATTACACAATCGTTTAACAATCCGTTAAAACCAACCACCTTTAAGGCGAAATAAAAATAGACTTCCAAGAAATAAAAATATATTTTAAAAACAACTTGGATGACGTAACAGGTAAAATAATGTTCAGTTAAATACCTCATAGTCTCATTCTTGTCTGTATAACATAACGCGATAACACTCCATCGACCACACTCGTCATTGTCGTCTTCCGAGGACAATGTCTTATGTCGTAGGCAATACGGTTGGTTCTTGTAGTTCATTTACTAACATTCGTTTGACGGTACATTGTTTGACATGGCAGACGAGCACTATAAGATTTTTCTGTACGTTACTTATTAACGCAAATTCCAGCACGTTATAACACTTTTTCGTACAATGAAAATCTCACAGTGTTGGTCACCTAAGCCACAACAAATCGCTCATTCACAAATACTTTATTATTATGTATTTCACAAATCAACGACACTACTAGATCTCTTTACATTAACAATAAATATATAGCGCTTCTGGCTCGAGTTTACATAAAATTATCGATATTGTCGCTTGCTCTAATTGCTCGCTAATTTCTCGATTGTGATGTTACGTGACTCTACATGTGCAGTTATTCCTATTCGAATTGGGCCACTGTTTTAGAATTATGTTGGTAAATAAAATATACGTCTATTACATTACCATTCTAACAAAGTGCCTTGAAGGATATTGCGTCTCATATTAACAGCGGTCATATTATGCCTACTATGCCTATCCCTCAAACAGTTCACGTCTCGGACAACACAAAGTATGCAATCATAACGACTCGATCAACATAGGTCTCCGTACCCACTTGACTCTATTGTCTACGCAATTATATTCTGTCTGCTATCCTAACATACTTACAAGTAACGCTTAACCTCCTTACAATTTAGAAGCATGGAAGCATTTCTTTCGTTATCTGTTACATAGTGTAAATAAGTTATCAGTTATTATAACAAAAATATAATTTATAGCCTCATTCTAATACTCGTCTAATGTTATTGTTCTACATTGATCGAGAGAGCGGATCGAGACCGGCCAGTAACTAAACAATAAATATACACAATACATAACGGACAAATTTGGAATAAATAACGCGAATTTTTACAATACCACTACTACCAGTTTTCATAAAACTCGAAAACCAGAAGTGCTAATAGGATAGTTATAGTTAGGACAGTGCCGTGAGCCCGCCACCTGAAGTTAGCTGCAGGCGCGAACATTCCGCACTGGCCTGACACTCGCACCTCACTTCACTTGGTTTTTCACATGTTGTAAGAACTCGTAGTACGAGAACGCAGACTCCACTCTGTCCTCCACCAGGCGCTCCGTGAATAGCGTCCGTGACGGTGAGTTGTCCCTGTGGGTACAAATGATACACTTTTAATCAAAAAAGTAATGAGAGTTTAAAGATTTCTACTAGACATAAAGAATAAATAATTGTACATATTTGCGTGATAAACTATCTAAAGATAGCAAATACGGCACAAAATGTTAAAAAACCAATTCACAGAAAATATTATATTGTTACTATGTCATTGCCGTTTTTAACAGATATATTACACACAAAAATCATAATCATAAAGACAATTCACAGCGACTGACCTCAATATAAGTATATCGGAGGCGTAGGGGCGGTCGTCGTTGAGTTTGTCGATGAAGGCGTGCAGCAGCGCGCTGCCGTGGCTGGCGGCGCGCGGCAGGCTGCGCATCTCGTCGGGCAGCTGCGAGAACGCCGTCACGCCGAATGTCTCCGACAGGAAGGCCGGGCTCACGCCGTGGCACACGTACAGTATCATACTCTCTCCGTCGTCTAGGAGGTAGGCACCCGTTGAGTTTATCCTGGAATAATACAATTTGTATTAGAGGAAATTCTCATGAATGTTTAAAGTTTATACCAACTAGTAATACAAGTAAAGCTGAAGACAAGAGTAAATAAATAATAATACAAGATTAGTAAAAACGGAAACATTTATTATTCATCTTCTTTAGTCACGCGGTAAGAACAAAAGGCAGTGTTTTATGAATCTTTGATATTTAAGTATGTGTTAAACGTTTAAGTAGCTTTCCAAGTTTTTCACGTCATACTTATTAGAGCTTACCTTGAAGAAAAATGTAACATGGCTATTAGATAATACCATAATTGAATCCTTACCGACTCGTAGTCACACCAGATTATCACACCAGTATGACAAACAGGATTTTTTTTCTCGTTTGTCACACCACTTATTTTTCTACACTATGTATACGATAATTACTAGTGCAGTACCTTTACATTCCAATAAAGTCGATCGGCGTTTGCCGTCTTTCGTTCTTTGGCGAGTTTTTAATATTTTCTACTTTTAATTAATAAATAGGTAACATAACATAACATCACTCCTTTTATCCCAAAGGGGTATGCAGAGGTGCCCATTGCGGCACTTAATGCCACTACACAATGTAACCTACTTGTTCACTATTTATATTATGAGTCCCATGTGTAATAGGGGGTGAGCCTATTGCTATATACCGGGCACATGTCCAGACTCCGTGCTACTACTGAGATTTTTAAAAACCCAGTAATACTTTGCCCGACCCGGGAATCGAACCCGAGACCCCTTGCCCGTCGCACTTGCGACCACTCGGCCAACGAGGCCGTCTAAATAAATAGGTACTAAAGCTCTATGTGGATGTCCAGTGGTTCATATGATAATGCAACCTTATCTAGTAGGTACTGGCCGGTTGTAAATGCAATGCTTGAGTTAATGATCGAGGACGCTCGATAGTTTTCGAGGATACTCGAAGGTGATCGAGGACGCTCGATCGATTTCGAGGACGCTCGATAGATTTCGAGGACGCTCGATAGATTTCGAGGACGCTCGATAGATTTCGAGGACGCTCGAAAGTGATCGAGGACGCTCGATAGATTTCGAGGACGCTCGAAAGTGATCGAGGACGCTCGATAGATTTCGAGGACGATCGAAAGTGATCGAGGACGCTCGATAGATTTCGAGGACGCTCGAAAGTGATCGAGGACGCTCGATAGATTTCGAGGACGATCGAAAGTGATCGAGGACGCTCGAAAGTGATCGAGGACACTCGATAGATTTCGAGGACGCTCGAAAGTGATCGAGAACTCTCGATAGATTTCGAGGACGATCGAAAGTGATCAAGGATGCCCGATAGATTTCGAGGATACCCGAAAGTGATCGAGGACGCCCGATAGATTTCGAGGACGCTCGATAGATTTCGAGGACGCTCAAAAGTGATCGAGGACGCTCGATAGATTTCGAGGACGTCGAAAGTGATCGAGGACGCTCGATAGTTTTCGAGGATACTCGAAAGTGATTGAGGACGCTCGAAAGTCATCGAGGACGCTCGATAGATTTCGAGGACGCTCGAAAGTGATCGAGGACTCTCGATCGTTTTCGAGGATACTCGAAAGTGATTGAGGACGCTCGAAAGTGATCGAGGACGCTCAATAGATTTCGAGGACGCTCGAAATTGATCGAGGACGCTCAAAAGTGATCGAGGACGCCCGATAGATTTCGAGGACGCTCAATAGATTTCGAGGACGCCCGAAAGTGATAGATTTCGAGGACACTCGATAGTTAATTTAATTTAAAGGTTTGCAACATGTGTCGATACCCTTCGCCATCTCATCTTCTGACTACGGCAGGTTGTGCTGGGGCGGCTGCCGCAAGTGCAGAAACCCTCAGCGGCACAAATATAATAACCTTATCGGAAATTACATGCGCTCATCGTGTTGTTCGAGATATCAGTAAACGTCGACTCTTCGCGTGACCAGAGGGCCGGGCTTTTCTTTTGTCAACGAATCAGCATTGCCATCCAACGTGGCAATGCTGCCAGCGTTCTGGGCACCTTTCCCATTGATATAGATAGGGATGGATTCTTTTATGTAGTTTACTTTTCAAACCAATTGATTTCTCTTTTCGCCATAAACTTAATTATAATAATTGACGCCCTATGAGTTTTTTTTTACTACCTGATTGTACATATTATTACTATACATAGTTAGTTTATTATTACTTTATGTTACACATTTAATTAAATAAAGGCATCAATTTAATAAAAACTTGATAATTTGATGATTTTTAATTTAGCTCTAGGACAGCACTAGTTAAGAATAAATGGTGTAGAAAAATAAGTGGTGTGACAAACGAGAAAAAAAATCCTGTTTGTCATACTGGTGTGATAATCTGGTGTGACTACGAGTCGGTAAGGAATTGAATCGGCTTATTGTAATTTCAAGAGCCCTTAGTCTCGTCTAAGGACAAACTTTAAGTTCAAGAAGTCAAATCGCCCATGTATTATCTGTTTAAAGTTGAATAAAGCGGTAGTGGGTTTTATCACCGTTCAGCAGTGAGCTGCAGACGCGGCGGGTCGGGCGCGTGGTCGTCGTCGTCGTCGTGGTGCGCGTAGTGCGCCAGCTGGTGCACGGGGAACAGGTCGGGGTACACGGCGCGGACCAGCGCGCCCAGCGGGGACACCTTCACGTTGCACATGTCCCACACGCGGTCGTCTAGCCGCGTCGACGTACCCGTGCGGAACGCTTTCTAGAAGTCGGGGAATAAAGACAGTTTTAAGGACGATATTGTTGAGAAAAAATAACAAAATGTATGTTGAGAGTAGTTTTTGAGTTCTCTAGATTACGCTAGGCTTGATTTGGGTCCTGTACGTCATGTGTTCATATAAAAAACTCAGTCTATTCGTCTAGGCAAGAAAGTTTAGTTTCTACAATAATCTTCATTAGCTAAGCCGAAGGTATGTCTTTCATTGTAATAAGTAGTACTCGTAGTAAACATAACTATAGTTAACAGCTTGATAAATTAGTCGAATAAGAGAACCAAGTCACATTTGACATTGGCATTGAAATTGTATTTAAATCGATTAAAGGTCAATTAACCATATATAACTAAATACGACATCTTATGCCGGAATACTGAAACGTTACTCAATTTCAAGTCATGCTTAAATATTGTGCCGTCTCTGTCATTTTACTAAGAATTTGTAGAGACAGAACTATACTTAAGTGCGACTTAAAATTGAGTAACGTTTCAGTATTCAGGCATTAATGAGTCATCTATGTTCAGCTATATACTAATTGTAGCTGATAAGACAATCATGATGAATAAGTGTTATACATACCCTCTTCAGCAATGCGAGTAGATACAGCGGCAGTAGCCGCAGCGAGTGCGGCGCATGTAGCGCAGAGGAGTTGGCCCCGGCCGGCAAGTTCTGCGCGAGGCGGAAGGCGGACAGCGCGTCCACCGCCACGTTCATGACGGCCTCGCGCGCCTCGCTCATTGACGCGGACATACACCGGTCCACCGCTACACAACAGGTCATTACCAATATTATTATCCCAATCAACGCAAACAGTCTCCTCCGTACTTCCTTGTAAGGGATCGTAATTAAATCATCGATTACATTTAGAATGGTCCAGACGTTCCTTCTGTGGCAGTAGTATTAAAAGTAAGTTGTTTTGAAATCTAACAATTTCAATTAAAAATAAGTATAAACATTTGAATAACTCAAACATAACTGCCAAGAAACCACTTTTATCAACAGCATCGAATAACGTAAACTTGACTTTACACGTAGAAATAATAATAAAACAATTTTACACTTTCGTTCTTTACAATTTTATCTTATACTTACTAGAGTTTCTTTTTTCATTGTTTGTTTGACACGTTAATCTCCGGAACTATTATTCAGATTTCAATAAATATTTTTGTGTTGGATAATAACACATGACTAGGCATTCATGTGTTATACACATGACTGCATCGTTGACCGAGTGGTCGCCCGGGTCGGGCAAAGTATTGGTGGGATTTTTAAATTAATCTCAGTAATAGCACGGAGTTTGGAATCGCGCCGAACTAGCTAATTTCAAATAACAAAACCGACATCGTAAAGTCACAGTTCCTTTCTCTAATGAACATGTAGTAAGTAGTTGAACTCACCCATTTTACTAAGTAATCCTATAATACATTGTGTGTCGGCCGCGTGTAGTACGTCCGTTAAATTACTGGCTGTAGGCAACGCTAGTGTGTGAACTCGTATTCTTCTTTCACCTGAAACAGTTCATTTTAATCAGTTACGCCTGAATACTGAAAGGTACTCAATTTTAAATTATACTTAGGTAAATATCGTCCCATCTCTATCATTTTACAAAGAGTTTGTAGTGACAGAACTATTCTTAAGCGCGACTTAAAATTGAGTAGCGTTTAAGTATTTCGGCGTTAACAAGTTAGTTTAAATGATCCTTACTAATATTATAAATCTGAAAGTGAGTTTGTTTCTTTGTTCCACCTTCACGCCGTAACTACTCAACCGATTGCTTTGAATTTTTGCAGACGTAAAATTAGAAGTCCGGATTATATAATAGGGTACTTTGATATTCCCGAGGAAAAACAAAAGTATTGGTATAAATGGCGCTGTCTGTATTGGTATATGTCACATAGGCTACTTTTTATTCTTTTGTGACGCGAGCGAAGCCGCGGGTAAAAGCTAGTAATTAAATAAATGAAGAATAATTCTGTGCAAACAGATTCTGTCCATTATTTAATTATTAAAATTAAGTACTTCAATTTTGAGTCCCGACGTCGCATCGCCGCGCCGTGAAAGATGCTCGTGAATAAGAGTAGAAGTGTTTTTCAAATAGATATACTTAATGTTTACCTTTACTGCTGGTATATAACAAGGCGGCCTGGAAGCAGACCTGTTGTAAGTCTGAGAGAGACTCCTCGATAGTGAGCTGCATGCCAAACCCAGCGTCAGGAGACACGTTGGGCAATGACAACAGATCCGTCGACCGCACGAAGAAGTTGCCGTGGAACGTGTGGATTGATATGCCTCTGAAATATTACATCATATTTATTATTTACTCGTACTTCCCCCTAGTAGTATCATACTAACCACTTGCTAAAATTAGGTTACTTATGCCCGAATACTGAAACGTTACTCTATTTTAAGTCGTGCTTAAATATCGCGCCATCTCTGTCATATCACAAAGAATTTGTAGAGACAGAACTATACTTAAGCACGACTTAAAATTGAGTAGCGTTTCAGTATTCCGGCATTAATTACTTATTTCTTAGAGCTTAAACCATAATTATACTTCCATAAACAGACAAAAACAAGACTGTCGTATTGGTAATAATTGTTGTAGTACGAAGGCATTCCAAAAATTGGTATTTAAAGAGACTCATAAACTCTATTACGTTGTCCAATAATGCTGCGCAATGGAAACTAATGGCTATATCTATTTGTACAAAAAATTATTCCTAAAAACGTACCTAGTACACCGCACCCTCATGACGGCTTCGAAGCCAATCTTCCTGGTGAGGTATCGAGTGAGCATTCTGTTGAGTTGTTCCGCCTGGTGGTGCCGCGTCGCGCGGAACAACGGGATGTGGTACACCGTGCCCGCACTGAACTTACTCATACCACCTGTAGAAAGAAGATGGAGTTCATAAGCATATCTATATGTAATCCTTACTATTATAAATGGGAAAGTGCTTTCACACAGAAGTTACGTTCTAAACCGATTGCTTTGAATTTTTGCAGACGTAAAGTTAGAAGTCCGGATTAAATAATAGGGTACTTTTTATCCCGGAAAATTGTAATATTTTCGAGGGAAAAAAAAAAGAATTGGTATAGATGGCGCTGTGTGTATTGGTATATGTCACATAGGCTACTTTTATGCTTTTGTGACGCGAGCGAAGCCGCGGGTAAAAGCTAGTTATGTATATATAAAAAAGAATCCCTTTTTCCCTTGGTCACGGCATCACGCGTGAATTGCTGGAACGATTTCACTAATTCTTGTTTTTGTTGTATTTGTTATTATTAGAAGAAGGTTTTTAAGACAGGAAAAATCCTGAAAATCGTACAACGAACGGGAGAAAACGGGATTGCGCGTACGAAGTCATGGCCAGAAGCTAGCTTATTATATTACTAGCTATTGTCTGCGTTTCAGTGGGATATTATATCAGACCATATAATATCCCACTGAAACGCAGTTCCAAATCCCTATCCCTGTTCCAAATTTTATTTCATTTCAGCCGTTTTGACGTGATTTAGGTAAAAAACATACACACAAACACACCAACTCACAAAACATTCGTATTATTATATCTATATGAATAAAATAATAAGTTAAAATTAAGATTAATTGTAATTAGTGAATGGTCAGTATCGTACGGATGCTATTCCCATCTTTTCTACATTTTTCATTCATAGTAACCTAGTGGCAGCGGATAGAGAATTTATTGTAATCCTTTAATAATTTATTCTAACAATAAATGATAGCCTTGATGGCTTTAATCATAAAAATAACAATAAACATGTTGAATACACAGGTACAGAACATTAGTATTTGCTCAGCTGTAATGTGAATACCATATTTATAGCGTCAGTTCCGATGAATTATAACGAAACTACCTGTATACCTATTATTTATTAATTATGAAGCAGTAAATGATTAAACTCTATAATTTAAGGCACAGTACTAATTTTCTAGACTTGAAAATAAAGAAATATCTCAAAAAGCTTCTCGTAATAAAATCACAAGATCATCAACAGCTTATAAATGCCCACTGTTGAGCAAAGCCTGTTCTCACATAGAGAAGGTTAGAGCATTAATCACCACGCTTGCTCAATGCGGGTTGGCGATTTCAAACTTATAATTAGAAATCACAAGATCAGTAACCAGCAATACTTTTTTTGTATTCGAAGTGCCTTAGAAAAATCACTATCACTGAATTATTTCAACTAATATTTTAAAGGTGAAGGTTGTACTTTTAACTTAAAGTTATCTTTGAAGAAGAGTGTATCTTCTAAAATAGATGTAGTTTCACCCAGTCAAAGCCGTGAGTATAAGCTAATAATAAACAAACTATACTTACTGAGTGACGCGAGGTCAGCATACTGTGAGTTGAGTAGGAACAAGTCGACAGCTATCTGCGCGCCGCTGCAGTCCAGCGCCAGTCGCTTGTAGAAGTCTGTGGCCGGGTTCAAGTGTGCTACTTCCTTCGATGATCTCGCGTTCGGATCCTCTCTGGTAACGAGGAGATTGAAAAAACGTTATTAGTTATCTTTTTACGAGAGCAAATGTTTTACAGCATATTTAGTTTGTAGAGCTTACCTAGGTTGTAACGCCCCAGGACCAACGTTGGGTAAACATGTCTGGAATACTGTTATCCGGCCTCCGGTGGGAGCCTTGAAACAAAATAAAATAAAAGTTTAGAGTCTAATTATGACTATTTACAAGGGTATTTTGTTTTGCGCATGTTTCTAAAGTGCGCTAAAAGTTTGCGCAATAATGACTTGCGCAAAGCAATAATTTTAAACACCAATTTCTAAAGGCGAGTCGTGACAAACGTTACAATAATCAATATTTTTAACCGAGTAAATTATTGACAGTGACTTGTTACGAACATCAAATAATATATAAAAATGTTTTCATTACAAATTAGTACAGTAACTCACCATAAGTTTATACGCAGCCTGTAGCGCGGCGCCTAGTGCAGAGCTGGGCGGGGCCGGCGTAGAGTACCGAGATGGTAGTACTGTCAGTAACTCACGCACTAACTCACGTCGCTCCGACAGGTTCACCAGGAGGGACGATGGGGATGGTAGGAACACGTCTGGATCAAAATATATTTAAATTAAACTCTTCAACTGCACAATACGTTTAACACACAAGTCCTAAAATAAAAGTCAATGTTAAACCTTATTTAGGTTGCAAATTGTCAGGTTTTAGATTAAGAACCGTAATAAACTCTTACTAGATGATTGAGTCTTTATAGGTTTAAAACTAATAGCAACACAAATCAGCTTGGAAAAGGACATGAAACGTCTCCTAGTACTAAATATCACAACAAAGAGATTAGACAAGATCTGAATGATCTAATCTAATTAGAACTTGCTACAAACATCGTGATTAACTACATGTCCCAAGAGTTGTAGCAATCTACAAAGGAAATATTGCTTATATCAATAATAGTTGACATTAAAACTCTCGTGAGACATACTAAATTAAATAATTATTATGTTTTCAGTCCTCGTCAAACAGTTACGTGGGTAAGCCGAAAACATAATAATTAATCAATAATAATGTTGAAAACTTACCATCAATATCAAGAACAGTCATTTCCTTGGGCCTCGTGAGTCCCTCGCTCATTAGATAATAGTGTACATGTGCATCGTAGCAGATGATACCGATCTGCGTCCGCGCATCGCCTGGCAATGCTTCCAAATTCGCTTTTAATGTGTCGCATGCAACCTGGAATGTTATAATTATTTAAAATATAGGTACATTTTGACTGCGCGGATGGGGAGGTGGCTATAGGTAGCGGGTTCGCGCACACGCAACGATTTGTAAACGCATCCACTACATAGGAGAAAATCCTAGTGTGGAGCAAAATTTTTACTTTAAAGTTGCATGAAGCAACGTTATTAGTTTCAAGCAAGTCAAGGGCCGATGCCGATAGCCCTGACCAGCGTGTGCGACAATGCCTTGACTTTGTTTAACGCGATCTTGCTAAGGAGTCGACCTGCACCTATGAGAGTCGTTTTACTATTTCGTAGCGATACACCAATCTTTTTTTAGAAGTGAAACATCTATTGTCATTTGTAATACAAACACATCATCAATCAATACGATGGTCTAATAACTTATTCGACCAGATTATTTCAAATATTAAAAGGATTAATTAGATGAAGATCATTGATCGATAAGTTTCTATAATGGAAGTCGTTAATCAGTCGTTGCTGGATTATCAAAATAATCCTACTAATTTGACATTAAGTTGACACATTATTATCTTGGAGTTACAATTATCAAGATTTCAACTATAATCAATAATTTTAGTGTATGTTTTGTTTTGACAAATAAAATATTGTTTTGTATTACACTGCGCTCATAATAGGGATGATGACAGCGTATGAAAATTAAACATCTAATTAGTCAGTTAGGTAATGGAAAAATATAAGACACGTATTTTTTTATTTTGTCCTATAAGAAAACAATACTTAGATAAAACGAATCAAATTTTAGGATTGAGAGGTCGCTACGTCATTTTATAGTATAAATCGTACTCAAAAGTTACGCCATGCGATATTTCAAATCAATACATCTTCGAAACTATTCGTTTCCGTAAGAAAATAAAAAATACGTGTCTAATGTTTTTAAATAATCTACCAGACGGACATTAAAATAAAAATTAGGCATCTACCCTATTATACAGAGAGAAAGGTTAAGCATTTATACTTGCAACTTAATACTTTTCGAGAAATGTTATTAATTACTGTATTGCGATGATGGCTATCTCATTGGTACGGTTACGTGGCTACCGAGCAAGAAGTCGTAAGTTATATCTCATGTGGTAAGCGTGGATGCAAAAGGTCATAAGTTATACCACCACAATCCATAAAGATAGAACATAAAGAATAGTCGCGTGCGGTCACCTCCCAGCCTTAGTGCTGAGGTATAGCTACAGATGGAAATACAGAAAAGTGCTAGATACATATAGTCTTCCTTTATGGATTATTTTTACAATCTCACATCAATCTTAGTCTGAGCATATTAAAAGTAGATGAAGTTAAATTTCACCTTATTACATAACATAACATCACGCCTTTTATCCTCAAAGGTGTAGGCAGAGGTGCACATTATACCACTGTACAATGTAACACCCACTTTTCACTATTTATGTTTGAGTCCCATGTAATAGAGGGTGAGCCTATTGCCACACACCTGGCACAGTTCCAGACTCTGAGCTACAACTGAGATTTTTTTTAAAAACCCAGTAATACTTTGCCCAACCCGGGAATCGAACCCGAGACCCCTTGCCCGGCAGTCGCAATTGCGATCACTCGGCCAACGAGGCAGTCTTTTAACTTCAAAGATAAAAGTTGAAAAGAAGTATTATAAAACAAAACACACCTGCAAATATCCAGATTCCCTAGCTAGCTGTGAGACATCGAATAGGAACAAGTATACAGCAGGCTGTGGAGGCCTGAGCATGTACTCTCCGGGGGCAATGAACTCGATCGTGGCGGACTTGATCTCGGGACGTCGCGTCGGGTCGCCATATGACTTGCTCACTGGGTCGTACTGGAACTCTTCTGGCACTGCAAACAAAATTAAAGATGGGGTTAAGGCTTTGATGGCGACTTTTTTGTTTAAGTAATGTTGAATAAGGATTACAAAACACCATGAAGATTGTTCTCCATTAGGAATTAGTTGTTTTCCCTGATTTTAAAATATAAGTTATTATGTAATTATATAGAAGCCTAAATTATTATGTTTTCGGCTTACACACGTAATTATTTGACGAGGAACTCGCGGCGCTGTCGCGATGCACAGTAGCAGCATTGCAAGTCGCGAAATGCTGTTCATGAATATGAGCCTCCAGCATGGCTTGAAACTAGTCAGGTTCCTCGTCAAATAATTACGTGAGTTAGCCGATTCCTGTGATAATATCTAACTGGTGTTGCAAAAATCGGCCCTTAACTAAGTGTTATTTACTTTATTTATTACATAGCATTCAAAGCTATTGGTACAATTTCATGATGACATCCTAACCAAATAATAGTCATATTATTGTACACAAAAAACAGTATGACATCATAATAAAAAAGAATAGATAACAATCTAATTATAAGTACATTTCAGTCGCATTTCCACGAGATTCAACTCATTGATAGTATCAAAATAAAGATAAATATTAAAACAAGAGACTCGTATTTAACTAACTCCACCAATTTAGATAAGCGAGATTATTTTATGATAACCATGTAGTTACTTTATTCAAGGAATGCCGTGACATCCGCATTTTATAATATGATGTCAGGATTTTACTTTTTGTTAGAGATATGAGTTCTAAATTATAACAGCTGAAAGTAGTTGATATTATGCATATTTATAAAATCCTCGACTCTACTAAAATCCCTACATTTCTAGTGAAAAGGTCTGTCACCTCTGCCTAACCCCTCAAGAGAATAAAAGACCTGTTAATCGCTATGGAAATGACAAAACTTTTTCTCAAGAGCTTTTAGGTCTAATATTGCGAAGCAACTTACAGTACCAGCAACAGACAAGTGAATTGCAAAGTCCATTCTTATTACAATGGAACAAAGTTCATTATCATATCGAGTGATTACTACTAATTATCAAAAATCATTCTAGTAGAATCCTAAATTAATTCTGCTAATAAGATATATCATATACTTGACGCAATCATAACTTATTATGCATTATGATCTTTGGACTGAACAAGTTTATGCTGACTCATACTAAGTGATCAAAATGGAGATGACTCAGGTATATTTTTATTTAAAAACAGGACAAGTTTGGTAGATATCAGTTTACAATAAAGGATGAGATAAATAACGATGTAGACTGACATAAAGCATAACATCACGCCTCTTATCCCCGAAGGGGTAAGTAGAGATGCACATTATGGCCACTGTACAATGTAACACCCACTTTTCACTATTTATGTTATTAGTCCCATGTAATAGGGGGTGAGCCTATTGCCATATACCGGGCACAATTCCAGACTCCGTGCTACTACTGAGATTTTTTTAAATACCCAGTAATACTTTGCACAACCCGGGAATCGAACCGACACCCCTTTCCCGGCACTTGTGACCACTCAGCCAACGAGGCAGTCTGTATGTATTTATGTATGATGTAGACTGACTAGTGAAATAATAAATAAATAAATGAGCAGTTAAGCTGTGTAATGATTGGCTGGCGAAATTTTGTAGTCCATACTGTTTTTATATTACCCGAAGAGGTTAATTCAAAGACAAGTAGGTACATGGTACCTATTATAAAAAGGTATACAAAATAACAAGCTATCTTGAGCATCAGAAAAGGACTGTGTGCCTTGTAAAACGTGAGAAATTCGCACGATAATAGTAATCATAAAACTGCATGCAATAAAATGCCTTATAATAGCTTTAATATGAATAAAATATGAGTGGGTTTGTTTAAATTCTGCCTCTACTATTATACGATCTATTAATATTAATATTCAGATAATGATAGTATTTGTATGTTAACAAAGTACAAAAAAGAAATCCTGTTCACAATCCAAAACCTACTCATTAAATGTAAGTAAATATATAAAATACAAAACTTGTATATACCTATGAACTGAATATTACGAGCGACATAAAAAGATAAGACCATCATACATAAGGCCTGCATTCTAAATGTTCATGTTAAATATTCTAGATGTCCTTGATAAGGTCAACTGCGTTTGCCAATAGACATTGCACTTAAATACACATAAAATAAGTGTATTTTTTAATATAATTTTAAATAGTGGCATTATAAACTGCACGATTGGCGCAGTGGCTGGATGAAAAAGGGTAAATTTTTCGTGTGATATACAAATGAATGTATGAAATTATGTGTTTGTAAATGCAACCACGATACAGGATAAAAGTTTTACGCCCGAACACAGAAAGGATACTCAATACGGTAGTTGACAGGTAGTTAAATTCAATAATTTTATTGTAATGTCAAAAACGATACTTTTCTATGAATTTTGTACTGAATCGCAACTTATGACGTCATCATATTTCTGCGTCAAATAGCATACTTATTTCCTTGAAATTAGCGAGAAAAAATTCAAAAATAGGTAAATTGTCAAATCAATTGATGAGAGTATGATTATTTTTTTTTTTAATTATTGCATTGAAAAGTTGAAACAATTTATTTTAAACCTAGGAGACTAGCCAATTTTAAGTTGTATTTAAATATCGTCCATCTTTGTAATTTTACAAAGAATTTGTTGTGACAGAAATACACATAACGCAACTTAAAATTGACTAGTATGATTGCTTTAGTTAGGACAATAAGTGTAAACAATATCAACATGACAAAAAAAATAGTGCCGCTAATTAAATTGACTAAAAGTCTTAGTAGGCGTAGACTTGCTATCGTTACGTTACTCAAAAATCTCTACCTATCTCCGTTTCCTTAATACATGTATCATCTAAATAACACAACAATACTCACAGTCATTGACCCTGTAACACAGATTGCACTTCCACCGCTTCGCGTCCACGAAATACACGAACGGGTTGATGTAGGTCCGGCAAGCGCGACACCGCACTATCGTCGCGCATTGGATTACTGGCAGATGCTGGAAATTGAGGGAATATATTACAAACATTAGTAAAATATTTATAACAAAGCACCAGTATTACTTCCTCAGGTGAAGAAGAACTCCTCTGTGGCTCGAAACTAGTAGAGCTTTTCTCATTATTTTCACGTGAGTAACCCGCGATTTTTTGTTGATTTAGTATGTCTCACAATAGTTATTATAAAAACAAAGTAACTGTCGTATAGTATACCATACAAGGAAATCAAATTAACGAAGGACATAACACGCTTATCAGTATACAGAGATTTTAATTAACCTTCACATGGGCAAAAAAGAACAGAAATTATGGATAGTGTTAATTAAATCTTATTTGTGTAATGACTATCGTGGCACCACTGGAAACTCTTACAAAGGCCTTAAGATAGAAGGTTTAAAAATGTTAGAGTTCAGTTTCGAGTCCAATATCCATGCTAAATTAAATGAACCATTTAGATAGATACCAAACAAACTCTACAGTCCACCGCTTTAGACAACAACAGGCGTTCTTGCATATGTGTTAAGAACTTTATTAGCATAAAACACTGTATGAATGAATACTTTCCAACATTATATAACTGAAACTTGCATAATGATAGCAAATAATAAATGCCTATGATCTGAATAGCCATTCGATTCATGGAAACCCTACTTTCATAGCACACAAACATAATAATGTTTATATAACATCAAATATAAGTTCTTTATAGAAATACATAACAGTGTCTCTAGAAAATTCTAACAGTTTGAATGAGATTTATTATATAAAAGCGTTAGTCATTATTAAATGTGAGACCAAAACATACGAATCAAAGTCCATCAGTGACAAGAACGCAATTTTAATAGACGTGTTTTATGATCGTTTTTTGCGAGATTTTTTGTAGAGACTGAGAGCCTTGATATTGATCCAATAAACTAGTAGCTTATTGCATAATAATAGATTTTTCTTAAAAGAAATAATGATTAGACATAATTATGTTTAATTTTAGTGTTATCTTCTTAATAGCAATATTTTTTGCAAACTTTACAAGTTTAGCTTGGTCATTCAAGTTCAAGGTCAAACAAAAATAATTACCTTGTTTTATTTTTAAATGTCAATCAATGTTAAAATCATTCACTATCAAACAGTGCCTTAATGCAGGTAAATTATATTAATCAATACTACACAATTTCATTAACAATTTCTATAATAGGAAAACTAAAATTTTCCCGCGCACCATTGAATAAGCGGTTTCATTTTAGCGCCAAAATAACGTCATTTCAAATTCCGAACGCGATCGATAATGCGTTTAATGATTCAATGTTAGTAGGTCTTAAATTGGTCAAGGATATAGCAACCTCTAAATCAAGGGTTTATTGGTTTTTATAAGTTGAATTTTAGCAGTCAGACCAAAAACAAACTTTTCTTAAAATAAAAACAATAAGCTGATAACATTTATGGAACCTTAAAATAAAGTTATAGCCGGTAAACATGCTAAATGAAACAGCTACAGAGTAATGTAAACACTGAAAACAAATCAGATCGTTCTAGCACTAAAAATAAAGTACTTACTCCATTGAAACAACACAAAACAGCCCTTAAAGTAAATGTAATAAGGGTAAAAATAAATCACCAAAGCGTACATAGCACTATGCTTCACTATGCAGCTATTTAAGATAAAATTAAAACTTACACTCACATTGAGATCTTTGAATGGATGAATTAATATACCAAGTGGAAGTCTGGACTTCTGCAGCAGATTGTTCGTCTCCGGGATACGATTGATTGTACATCTGAAGACTCTGCAAATAATTTTCACAACATTAAAATATGTTTACTGTTTATAAACAAACTGATATTGAGTTGAGTCAGCCAATATCAATAACATTCATACTAGTTTTTATCATATTTTATTAAACTTTTTTTTATCATATTTTGAATTGCTTTATATTTTTTTCAAATAACTATCTACTTAATACTGAAGTTTATATTGAATTGAATTGTAAGTTAATAATTACTCTTTATATCAATTTTGGGGCAATAAATAACAATTTACATCATACTTTTGTCACTCCTTCCGTAGTTATCAAAGCCATTGTTCAAACAAGTGCCATATGACCTTCTAACAAAATACGTGAGTTTAATCATATCACAGATTTCAGATTATGCAAGACTACACGGTAGACAGCATTTTATCTACTCTCTGATAACCATCCTCTTTGTGCGTAAGTTAAACTTCATGAGAGGCAATTGAACAATAAATATAGGAAAAAAGGTCTGTGAAGTGACACACAATGCATGCATGTCTGTACTGAGCAAACAATGGAATGTAGTCACTAAATAAATAACAAAATATGGATTGTGTGATAAATACAATACAATGCAAGTGTACTGCATTCAAGTAATAAATATATTATATTATTTTAATTCAATATTCTTCAGTTAAGGACAATTTTATGTGATACTTAAGTCATAACAAAACACATTTTTAATTCTGAAAAGAGATTATCTATTTTACAAGGGTTAACAAGAGGTCTATTTTATCAACTAATCCAACATTAACTTGAATAAAATATTAATTGAAATGCATGAAAAATACAAAGTTAATATAGCTTCCTTTAATTGAACTATTCATAAGCACACTAAATAAGTAACTCTTGAGATAAGGTAAATTATTTATACTTGAGTGTAATGTACAGTTGTTAACTGTGTGGAAGGAAAACTATTTTAATGTCAGGAATACAAGAAACATTTTTAATTACAGAATAGAACTATGTAATAATGAATTTATTTCTATCACGAAAGATAAAAACACTAACTACTTCACAAAAACTGGCTTTTTACTTTTAGTTAACTATTTTATCACTCAACACATTCGTGCTCGTTGCTCATTGATAAGTACACTTTCACATAGTTAATAAAATTTAATGAAATACTTACTCTGGGCTGCAGTTACTGGAATCAGCAAACTGATGGGCTAATTTGATCTCCGGCGGGTCCTCAGGATATTCAGGCAATATATGCTTACACTGCAGCAGATCTACCATATGATGACCCCACAGCTGATCAAATCCTTGTTTTGTCACACTCAGTTGCCCCATTTGTTGTGTCAAATGTTGTTGTGGAAACTGCTTCATTATATTTGCTTGTTGTTGACTTAAGCTTGGTATCGGAGGAGCCTGGTGATTGGGATAATTTCCAGGAGCTGAAGCCATTTGCGGATATCTGTTTTGCATATTGCTCTTCAGACCAGGTGCTGTTTGAACTATAGGACCTGGCGGGGGCCCCATCTGATGACCCATTGGTGGTAAGCTCTGTTGCCCCATAGGAGGCATTTGAGAACCAGCTGGAGGATTTTGTGGACCACTGAAGTTGTTAGGAGGAGGCATATGTCCAGTAGATGTTCCCAGAGGACCTGTTGGTTGGACAGATGGACCCATTGGTGGCCCTTGAGGACCATTCCTATATTGTCCCGGGTATTGCTGTGGTGACGGAGCTCCTGGTCCCATTGGAGGCCCACTTACGAGACCCATGGGTGCTGGTGGTTGTCCCATCGATGGTGGTGGCTGTCCCAAAGGTTTTGAAGGACCAGGGGGCATTGCAGAGGGTCCACTTACATTAGGGCCATTAATTCCCACTTGCCTGGGAGGACCCTGAGTTGGCGGTGGTCCATTAAATCCTTGCATTCCACCTGGTGGCCCACTTACTGGTGGTCCTGGCACCAAAGGACTATTCCTCGGAGGTCCAGATACAGGAGGACCAGAGAACGGAATTGGAGGTTGACTTGGCATTGTAGAGCCAGGAGGTTTTGGAACCTGTCCAGGTGGAGGGGCATAGGGTGTATTCATCAACCCTGGGCCATACCCTGAATTTAGTGGCTTGCTTCCAGGAAGAGAGCTATAAGCACTTGATGATACAGGGTACTGACTCTGTGGAGGTCCAGTAGGAGGGAGTGAAGAAGGTGGACCATTCACAAGAGGTTGGGTGGTTTGACTAGATGGAATAAGAGGTGGAGCATTGTCATTAATCTGGCGCTGTGGAGGGTGATAGCTTGGAGGATAAGGTGCAGGTGAAGAATTGGCATTGGGTACTGTTCTAGGACTAGCTGAAGACAATGGAACATTGTGAGGAGGCAGCGGATTGGGTAAGGAGTTGGGAGCTGTAGACATAGGTGGCCTCATAGGTGAAGATTGCAGATTCTGTTTCAAAGGAGGTGGCATCATCCCAGGTTGATTAAAAGCAGGTGAACTACTAGCACTCTGGCTATAGTTGTTGACATTATGTAGCACATGATTCTGAGCTGCGGGCGACGGTGCGTGTAGAGGACTATTCGAGTTTGGATCCTGTTTTATTCCTCCATATCCAGGTGGTAATTGGCTCACTGGCACTTGACCAAACTGTTGATTATGGTTAAATGTCGGAGGCGCCGTATTAGCGTTCACTTGAGGCGGTCCCGGGAAGTTGTTATATGGATTTGGTGGTAAATTGGACATGGCTTGTCAATCTGGAAAGATATAATCTGCGTTCTAGAAACAATCTTCAACTGTACAATAACAAAGACTTTAAGATCCGTCTTACGGAAATTGTGTTATGTTTATATTGAGATAAAAATGCTGATATCGACAAGGATTTAATTAAAACATGCTAATTCACTAGTACAATGACGGATGGGCGATGGAAGGCCAGAATTGAATACCATCACTTACCGCAGTCAGGACTAGGTACAGACAAAAATATATCACTAGCACTTGTGTATTGTTATACCATTCTCACATATTATCACAGCATGTAAAATAATGTAATTAAAATGTCCAAGGAAGAAAAATACGACCCTGACTTACGTGGCCGAGCAATTTAGAGCGCCCTCTGGATTGATTTTTTGACATGTCACGTCAACTAGTGAAGCGCTGTGTTATTTTCACTTTAGTCGATTATTAATCGATAATCAAGTAATGTACTATACAATATTAGAAATAAAATTAAAATATCATTATATTTCATATTGATTCCAGATGTTAAATTATATAATCATCAACTTATGACTTTATTCCATAAAAATTACAAAGCGTAATATTATACAGCGCCATCTATTGGCCTCAACTACAAATTCTTGCATACTTTATTATTCCCGAAAATGTTCCTGAAGTTCCAACCAACTCGTTCCAGCTAATGCTTGTAGTGATCGTATGATTAGTTACATACCCTCGTGACCTACATTATTCCTAACATCACGCATGATATAATAATACTTACTATACAGGCCGCCAGATTCTAATATTATAAAAAATCTGACCAGTTTTATTAGTACATTAAACATAGTAAGGTTGAACCTATTACTATACTACGAATACGTAGTTTCAAATGTCGAAGATACTATTTATTCGAATATTAAATATGTGAAGTGAAAATTTTTCACTTCGCGGATCGCGGGACGATCTCCGGCCACCGTAAGCGCCGGGCCTGCGGACGGCGAGCATGGGTGGCTCCCCGTCCGACCAGAAACAGACCCGAGCGTACGGCGCGTCGCGTTCCGCGCGCGCCTCAACGAGCCATCAGACCACCACAGATGGGGCCCTATAGGGCCGATGCCGATTCGGAGTCGCGGAGAACCTAACGGGTAACCGGGGCTCCGGCTCGACGTGCAGGAGAAGGAACGGGGTGGTTTTTAGTCAGTAAGAGTCTGATACTCCCTTCCGCCTCACCCAGGCGGGAGCAGTCATTCGATGATTTTCTCCCTTAAAAAAAAAAAACGTACTATGGATATCTGTATAGTCGTATATGCTCTACATCACTCAGTATTCAACCAAATAAGTATGTTTTGTGTATTAAATGTAATTTATAATACTTATCATTGACTTATTTATTACATATCGTCACGCCTGTCAAACATTGGGGTAGGCAGAGGCAAATTGAAACAAATGAACGTCAATGAACACGATTCTGTCATGTCTCTTTCGTTTCGTGTAATTTCATTATTCTCTTCAAGCAAACTCGTTAATGGAGCGTACTTTTAACAACTGACATCGGTAGATGGCGCTACACACACATACTAATCAGGCAATATTATGCATTTGAAAAATTTTCTACAAATTGGAGTCTATGATTCCTCTGTGAGTGAGATGGACATATGCATTTGCATAGTTTTAATTAAGTACCATGCTCTATTTCTGCCCATTATAGCCCATGTAGCCATATACTCTTTGCTGCGGAGAACCTAACGGGTAACCGGGGCTCCGGCTCGACGTGCAGGAGAAGGAACGGGGTGGTTTTTAGTCAGTAAGAGTCTGACACTCCCTTCCGCCTCACCCAGGCGGGAGCAGTCATTCGATGATTTTCGCCCCTTAAAAAAAAAAAAAAAAAGCCATATACTCTTTGCCATGTAGGCAATTCTCTATGAACCTCTACGTCCTTTATTATCCCGTCGTGTGTCTAAACGTGTACCCACGCGAGACACAATGTATTTTCTATTGTCTCATATCGGTGCATTCAACCAGTTAAAAATAGATCAATACACCAAATAGCACTTAGTTCCCAGCCCAGTCTCACAAGGCAGACGATCATGGGTAATACTGATTCAAAATTCAAAGACTATAAGTTTATAATCCTTCCGAGCATGTAAACCCAAAACAATCTCAAGTACTTAGGTATCGGCTATTAAGGTAAAAGAAATAGATAAAATCATTTAAGTACTTTATTATTGTTCCAGACATCGTTCATGTACTTACTGCTTAAAAGGCTTTACTCCAATAAAGCTTTTAAAACAAAGCAACAACAAATAAATAGACCATATAAAAATTCAAACATCTGTATTTCAATGATAATTCATATCAATGATTTAGTCGAAAACAAAATTTTAACAAAGTATTGCGTAAGTAAAGTTTAGAATTGATTGGATAAAGCCACCGGATCACAATAGTAGTATCTAATACTTAATATAATCAAAATTTACATTTGAAAAAATATATAATAAAATTTGTGTATCTGTAAATAATAACGATCAAACAAGTGCTAGTGAATCTTTCTCCAATCAACGTTGTACGCAGGGTTACAGTCTAGCAGGTCTACTCTTAACATTATCAACACTTCATTCTTTCAGCAATATAAAAGTATTCAAACTGATCACAAAGTTATGGCAGCTCCATGGAACCCCATGCAACACTTAACATATGTACCAACACAGCGACTCATACATGACATTGCATTCAGTTCAGTTCACAAGTGCGACTCATTGCCACGGACCGTAACGATCAAATAATAACGAGCGACTCAATATTCACTTGCACCTCTCGGAATAATGTCACATATTGCCCTTAACTCTCTTACATAAATATTAGGTTGATTCAATCTTAATTAATGAGATGTGGTTTTCCATCGTTGGTAAAAATGCAAAAAAAAACAATCACATAAACAGACTAGTATCCAAAAACGCCATCAAAAAATTACATAATTTCTATTTATTGCAAAGGATAGGCCACAAACCAAAGGCGATTACACGAATACATAAGCTCAATTTCGAAACGCGGATTTTATAAATCCAAAACAAAATATTTCATCCCGTAATCGACACAAACGTAAAGTACGTAGATCGGCGGAACTATCTCGGTATAATACGATTTTTATCGACCGTCGCCGGTCCCTCGGCGCAAGCGCCGCGCTCAACATAAACTCACGAATACTCTACATATCGATAAATCTACTCAGTCGTTTGTTTACTCATAAAAATATATCTTTAAAAGGCTCAAATAAATCCGCGGCAACCAGCGGAGCGGCGGAGCGGGCTATCGTTACAGCTATCGGCTATCTATCACTGCGGCAGACTGGCGAGGGGGGGAGGGGGGAGGGGGCCGAGTACTGCGTCCTGGCTAGTGCACGGGCAGCGGGTCGCCGGCGGGGTGCAGGCGGCGCCGCAGCAGCTCGGACTCCGCGGGCGGGGACAGCCCCAGCGGGGCGCAGCCCTCGCGCGCCGCCTGCGACTTGCTGCCGCGCAGGGCGCGCGCCGGCCGCTCCATGTACGAGTAGTTCATCGAGAAGTGCTGCTGGATCACCCGGTTCACTGCCATCGCAGACTCCGCGAAGCTCGACAGGTTGCGCGCGGACATGTTGCTGTACGACAAAATAAAGCAAACGTTAATTACACTGTTACCATTATGCGTTCATAAGTCATCTAAAACAAGACTAGTTCCAGTTATCATAAAGTGTCAGAGATTTCCTCACCGTTTAATATTAATAGAGGTCTGCAACTGCGGATGGTGCGCGAGAGGGTCGGCCCGACGCAGCCAGGGGTGGGTGAGCACCCGCTCGGCACTGAGGCGGTGCGAGGCCTCGCGCACCAACAGCTGACGGATGAGATCCTTAGCTTCGCTGGATATATCCGCCCACTCCTCCTCGGGGAAGGTGTACCGTCCCTCCTGAATAGAATTGAAGAGCAGCTCCTGACAAGCGCGGCAGTTCTCGCCGCGCTCCCAGCCGCAGTCGGAGCCGCAGTCGGCCCGGAACGGCGGGTAGCCGCATAGCAAGATGTAGGCGATCACTCCGAGCGACCACAGGTCACATCGCTTGTCGTAGTGATTCGCAGCTGAGCCCGCAAATAGAGACACCACTTCTGGTGCCATGAATTCCGCGCTGCCCACCTAAGACAAAAGAAATGCAAGTTTAGCTTCATGTTCATCATTGAAAAGCAGCTAGAGGTTTCGATAAAGTTCTGCCTCCTACTATGGAATATTTAAGTACTCATAGACCGATACAATAAAGCCGAGATAAATATATTAAACGAACAAGTATTTATGATACGAAAATACTGTTCAGAGTCCACTAACAAGATTATTCAGGCTTTAGATTAATCGTTAAAGCTGGCAGCAAATGCATATCTGAAGGACTAGTCTACCTAACTGCATAATGTTATTGAAAATTTTTCATATCTTGCGATTTAGACTCGGTATAAAATTAACATAAAGTCAAGAATAATGCATGTAACGTTGTACCATTCAACATTGAGATTTATTGCTTTTGCGTTATTGCTTTTGTTTTCTTTTCTACAGTTTCCTTATAAGAAGAAAAGTTCTCGAACCCTTTTGTATCACTAATAAGGAACAACCTTTAATTTTTCATCATTCAGAACTGACAAGCGTTTATTCTCATCGTCGTGAAGATGTATTCCTTTTGTATGAACTAAATATCTGTTAGCTATTTAAATCTTTTTGTTTACAAAAATGTTAAACAAATTCGCTGTCACGTGGCTATTGATAATTCAACAATGTCCATGACGTGCAGATGTTAGGGTCAGGTCATTGTTATGATTTAATCGGTTGTTATTTCATTTCATTCGAAGCAAGGTGCCATTGACACAAGAACCGTAATAATACCTTGTGTTATGCCTACAGGGATGATTCATAGATTTAATTTTGTAAACGTACACACCAGACATATGGGTACCTCCGTATAATCTTTTAAATTCTCTGCTACTATCGGATTATTATTTTTGTAAACAACAACAATTATAGATAGCTATTGTTTTCGTATATGTAATCTTGTATTGGATTAGTATTATCTCTCTCACTTTCAACTTTCCTCGGGGCGTTACTCACTACAAATTTCATTGACCATTATACTTGTACTTTCCACACATAAAACAGTCATGAATCCATAAAACCTTTTATAAAGTCAATAAAACCGAAGGAATTACATTAATCTTTTTAAAACTACTAATGTTTTTTAAGCATTATCAATTTGCACTGGTCAAAAATATTATTTTTGCAGATATAAGTGTTTTATCGCAGAATGTTTCCATTATTTATCAGTTTTAGCTTTGAATTTATCAGTACGAACTAAGTTGAAAACAAAGACACACGAAACGTCAGAGATAGGAGAATGGCTGCGAATGATAGAACTGAAATTAATTATTGGTAATAAATTAATCAGCATATCGTAGATACACACTGCAGCAATGTCGAAACTGCTGATTGAGAGAAATAACAAGCGATAAACTTGGAAAACGTGACTGAAGTCAGCAAACCATGTGATACGAGTAGAGTTAATGCTGAACTGTCTACTTTACATGAAGAGAAGAGCCATGGTAAAGGTCGAACTCGATTTATACTTATATGAAATCTAAAAACCGCTTAACTCAAGGTTGAGGATTACAGCTCGTATGAGCCTACGCGATTACGTGTCTAGAGGACAAAAACTAATCCAAAACTGTGTCAGTATGTATTACATTATTCGTTAAACCTTTGATGTCGAATGGATTTAAATTCACGTCAAACAACATTCGATAAAGCTATTACTTTTAAATTTTATCATAATTTCTAACTTTCTTAGAAAAGGGTTTCGCAAGGCCTTATATTAGGTCCAACTATTTAATAGTGATAAATAAAAAGAAACTCACTGGCGTCATAAGCTGCGGGGTCGCCAGCGGGCTTGCGAGGCTCGAAGTGAAACTTATTCCACTCCCAAGATCGAAGTCGCATATCTTCACTGGGCATAGTCTATCACGGTGAACGCATAATATGTTCTCCGGCTTGAGATCGCGGTGTGCGACACCTTTCCCGTGGAGGAAATGTAAAGCATTCGCTATCTCACGCACGATCTCTGCCGCTTGCGGCTCTGAGAAATAGTGGTGCTCCTGTATGCGAGACAGGAGCTGACCGCCGTTGATCTGAAACAATCGAAGATGGACGATTGTAGCAACACAATGGTACTCAAGATACACACAGAGCACATACTCTACACAACACCAATGAAGGTGATATACGATAAGAAAGGGCAAACATTGAAAGAAGGATATACTACTCAAGATTAATTCGTTCTAGAAAGAATAATTAATTTACGTATATGTTTTTATAAAAATAATAAATGATAACCATAAGCATCAGAATACAAAACAGACTAGGACAGTGAGAGGTATCTGAAAAGGATGAGTTTCTATGCATATCAAACGAGAGATAACCTTAGATCCCTTAACATTGCCAATTAGATAATTTTAGACATAAACTCAAAATAAGTGTGGTTCAGGAGTTCATCGTAGTTGGTACAGGAACAGACATAACAAGATAACGGCCGTAAACAGAGCCATATCAGATATCGCGCTCGCAACCAGCTACATTATTTGCGAGCCGACCACCAATTAGGAAATGAAATTGTTGCCACGTGAACCCACTTGTTATGTAACTGAATGAGCCGTGACAAATATGGTAAGAAATGAGGTAATTCAAATAGTAATTAAAATTAACTAAACAAGCTATTCGTTTTAAAAATTATTCATGTCCTTATACATGAATCATGTACATTTTTAAATGAACAATGATTTTATGGTTCACTAAGTTATACTTGTTCATTGTGAAAAATCCTTGGGCGATGTCGAGGAGTTCAGACAGGAAACAATGGAAACTATCATAGTTCCTGTAGAAAAAAAATCTCACGGGAAAACTACAGAAGTGAGACTATGCGACCATTAAAAATGTTTTATTGTCAGGGAAACTACAGTGCATCCGTATATCGTATCTACTCATGCAATCTGTCTACAGTACCTATGTACATGTATTCGCACTCTCCCGTCCGTCCTTTAATTAGTTTCACACAATATAATTGCAGTGCAACGACGATAACTAAATGTGTAAATATTTTTTCTACAAAACCTCGTATCGGAACATTCCGAGGGTACCTACATACATTTAATTGCAAATATTCCACATATGGAACAACAGTATGTTTGCATATCATTGTTAAAATAAAACCACATGTGTTCGTTGAGTCATTGTGATATGCGCTACATTATTCACGCCTCCAATTGTTATAGCGAAAAGTTAGGAAAATATCTAACAATTTAGGTTAAAATTATTCGTAGAATGGCTTAACAAACAAAGGGAAAATTCGTTAGACAGATAACTAACCAAGATATTTGCGCAGTAGATATTATAAAAATAATAACCAAAAATATCCAATAATTGACTATAATGTTCAATTAGTAATTATGGAATACTCAATATGCATACAAAATTATATAATTGAGTTTATATCGAGACAACTCTCACACGTCGTCTACTGCGATAGTATGAGTAATAAACTGCTCGATGAAAAATATGGATTCCTTTAACATGCGTCACTTTTATTTATTTATTAAATACAGACATTAATGCATTTATATTATTTTAATGGAAGTAAGACGCGCACTTTCTTTACATATTATTATCGATACTAAAATAAGAAAATATCTTCCCTGGGAACGAATTTAAAGTCAATAAAGTTTATACGATTGGATTGTTTCCGAATAAAAAGGACGAATTTACAAAAGAAGAAGAAACCGGTTACTTGAAGGTTGGGTTAACCAAAAAAGAACTCAATTTAGCGATAGAAAAATAAGTCATGAAAAGAAATTTAACTTCAAACGAATACTCATGAGAGAAATGGACATCAAAGGCTAAGAAAAATATTAAGTATAAGGGAAAAGGACAAATAAATGAAAGACGGTTGTGTTTTCATAGGCGAGTGGATACTGTAATATTACAGGGCGTGGATAAGTGAGGATTGTTTGGTAACGCTGTTCCTTATTATTTAAAACTGTAGTTTCATAGTGATTAGAATTGCATGAAATTCTCACCTTCTCGAAGACAAGGTAGAACTTGTCTGTGTCCTCAAAGAATTCAATGAGCTGGATTATGTTCGGGTGTCCCTGGCAGTAGTGGAAGGTCTCCACCTCACGGAACACCCTGGCGCGGGCGTGCCCCGGCACTTTGTCGATGATCTTCACAGCGAACTCCTGGCCCGTGTAGATGTTCACGCACGTCTGTACCGAAGCATACGCGCCCTCGCCTAAAACCTCCCCTGTAAGCTTGTAGAGGTCTGTGGACAAAGATAGTTACATTTTAATATAACTTAAACAATTTTGAACACCATTACAGGTGGAGGTAACCTAATAAGTTTGAATGTTATCTCAAAATCACGGTACAAAAAAGTTAAACCAATTTGCAGAGTTAATCAGAGTGATAAGAGCTGTTTCTCCAATATTTGCTGGAGCTTACCTTGGAAACATGACGTGACAACGGAGCTCCCTGAACGCTTCTTTCTGCGGCGCTTCCTGCGCGCCTCTTCCTTGCGCCGCTGCAAATCTTCACTGTCGGGGATGGGGACGGGAGCTGACGGCTCGTTGCCACGGGGGCTCTCGTCCGATTCGCGCTCACTGCCCGACTGACTACTGCAGCGGCCTACACCTGTAGACAAGACAAAATACTAATTTAGATCTGACAACTCTCTTCATTACCACCGTCCACCGTGCCAAGTATGTCTAACCACACCAGCACATGATACAGTCTAATATATGTTCCTAACACGTAGCCATTTCTCTTATGTCTTTACAACTAGCACAACCAGACTTTGAAATTAACTGTACGGAATTCAGTGTTCGGTTCTCTCTCAATTACTTATACCTACATTATAGTCACTAGGTGTGCCTAATAGCACTTTTTGCTAACGGTTTTAAGCGCATTTTTTTTAGGCAATCTTTTTTATCTTGGTAATCATTTTTTGTTGCAATACGTTTGATAATTTTTTTACTAGCTCATTGAAAGAAATGCTTCAGGTGACGCAGTTATACATATAAATTTTAAGAATAATTCAGTTTTTATGAGCACTGCCTCCCACAAGTGAACACTATGAAACCGTTTCGTTTCGACGATGACTGCATTAGCAAGTTATGGCGACATCCCTTGTTTAATGTATGAACAACGCGGAACATTACGTAGGTAGGCTGTTACCATAACAACTGAGCCTGCACGTCGTCACAGGGACGACTCTCACTTTGCTTTTGTGCCAGCTATTGTTATAAACGCTGACGTTAAATCACTGCATATTTTAAATGGCCGTTTAGGATCCAAATCTGAATACTAAATTCATGATAATATCAGTCGGATCATCAAAGAGTCAAAACAATCCCGGAACGGTCTGGTCTATCAGGGCAAATGTGACGGCTGTCATCGATAATATAATTCTGACGTGAGACGTGACTGTGCAAGCTGAGCTGGCAAACAAAGCCGGTTCAACGACCTACATGGCCGCACCCAGCGCTGCGCGTACGCGCGCCCACGTTACGCGATCACTCGGCCTCTTGCCGTAAAACTAGCGAAGTTGCATCTACTAGAAGAAACGACCCACTCCTCCAACTAAACTTCAACAAAACAACCAACAACACTCATAACACGAAATTACCTTACTTTGGTACTTTATACTTTGTGATTGACAGTCACGATGAAACTCTTTTTGGGCATAAAACCTTTGTTCAAATAAGAAAAAACTTATTTCGTTCAGAACTAAACTATTCTTATTCTCGGTATAGGTACCTTCCAAAACATACCTATCAAACATACAGAACAATGATCATTTTATAGACCCGTGTTGAAGAACATAGAACAACTGAGGAATGAGAATCAATCTTTGCGTACGTGATCAGTATTAGTGTTTGCTTGTTTTCATCTTCCTTGTTTAACTGAGGCTTTAATTAATTTGAATGCACGAGCGCTCGAATAATGCGTTTGGTTTGCGTGTTTATTCAGTTCATTCGTCATAATGAATGATAAAAATGAAACTTAGGAATTAATTATTGCACGCGATGACCTCAGCTTGGGCCGCACGACAACAAGCCGAATGCGCAATTGCCGTACAGCTCGTACGAGTATAACAATCGAGCTCGAGGCACGCCCACGCATACAATCACCCGTTTCAACATAGAAACTTCCTGTTTAAATACTGAATTGTTCTAAATATTCACAGAAATAAGCGCACAAAGCAACTGTTCTACGTCCGTTCATGAATATTGCTAAACAAAACTTTGTATGTATACAAACAGCAGGCCACGCACCACAACAAGGAAACCTTCCTCATGCTAAAATCGAGAGTGAGTGAGTCATCAGCTGGCTCGTACTCGAACCCAAATACAAAGAGACATAATAACGCTGCCCACGGTTTACCTTGATAACCAAAATATAAAAATAAGATTCTAAAATAGCCAATACAAAACCGTTTCTCTGCGAGAGCCATCGAGACCCAAAATGAATTAGTTATGTCCGCAAACCGCTACCGAAACGGATGCTTAATGGAAAAGGCAACTGCTGTATACTGCTGTATTGAATGGAATGGATGTTACGGATTTAATTTCCGATTGCCACAAAGTAATTGTACACTTGTCTTATAGTATCGCATGTTCGTCGCGTGACAAGCTGGCTCGCGCACCACCACGTGGCAAAGCACTTGCCTTGCAGCGTGGCTCATACGTTACGTAAAACAGCAACCGCACCACCCTAGCAATAACAACTAAATACAGTAAATAAAATACTGCTCCTACATCCTAAATATCTAAACCATTTTCGAAATCGCCTTACCTAAGTTCAGCATTACCTAGTTTACTCGTGGTCGAGGTGAAACAATGGTTGACCCAAATAATAAACAAAAGGCTATCAAAATTATAACGACTGTATTGTCAAATAAAGTTTGTTCAAGAATGGCATTAATTTGATTCGTTTAATATATTCCGAACCTTCGCAAAGAAACTGAATTATTACTGAATCATTATAAATACAAAACAGTGTTCCGCAAATTAACTCAGTAATCAACTAATCATGCAAATCGATGGATATGTATGCATGCGAATAGCATTAATTTGTTGGACTAATTACAAATCGTTGTTAATTGTAGCAGAAACTTCAGAATACCAATTTATTACATCATCTTTCATATTATTTCTGGCACATCAAAGAACTTAAGACCTAAAATATCTAGAAAAAGTCTAGTACAAAATTGTCACCACGGCATTTCTGCCCTCGGTTGTTAGTTTCTACTTTCTAATCTGGTAGTGGTAGGCTGGCTTAAACGCTTGGCCACGAATACGCTCTCTAGTTGCCGACCGTAGGCCTATTATACTTTTGTTTCATACCCTTAAGCGATTCAAAATCGTTGCTTTCTAATCGCAACAAATAACGAATGCATTGTGAGAGATGCAATTTGCCTTTAACACGCAAACATTGATAGACATTGTTTAGAATTAATATTATTCGCATTTCATTCAAAGAGGCATAAAACACGTACTTTTGGTATATTGTTCTGAAACACCGCAACAGTAAATGCATTTTCTAAATCAGTTGGCCAATTTGTCATAATCGTTATAATCAGAGATCAAAGTCGACGGTTAGATGGTGATGCATAAACTGCCAACTCGGCCTGGCACTGCAACCGAACGTAGTGAGATATTATCTAGGTGAAACTTCAACTAGGGCGTTTCAATGAGCAGTACCTATCTACTGCAGTACGTAACAAACCACTTTCACTCACCACTGATTTTGCCCCCTGTCTAATGATAACGCATATAAATATAGCCAATGAAGCAATCGTTCACGACACAACGGTAACTTGCATTTTTGACGAAGTGCTCTGTGAACGTTTCATAAGAAAACGGAAAGAACATTCGAAAAAATGTCTATCTACCTACCTAGTCGAGTCACGATTAACGTTTTAAATGTTATACAGGTACAAGGATATTTTTATATTAGTGATTCAATAACACGAATGAATGGCGCGATCGATATGAAAGGGAAAACTGAAGAGGGTAAAGTTAGAACAAATCTGAAGTTTCATGACACTATTGCGTAGAGAGATATGCAACTGCAAATCGATTCGCAAAAGGAGTAAGGGGGGGAATGTACGCGAGGTGAAGGGAGCGAAGTTTGATATTACACCGGAACAAGCGTGAAGTCCGTCACGGTCAAGGTTACTCTGCTTTACTCAGTCGATGGACACGATTGATTGATTGCAATCAACTGGAATTGAAAATTTGCAACTGCCAATTTTTGATTGATTTCATTTTTTCTTTATTAACTTGAAAAAGTTAAAACCCTAACTCCGGAAAGCTCGATCACTTGATTCTTGCAATTTGGCTATAAAACCTTATTGAAATATTTAATTAACTCTGCAAGAACATAAAAGCGAAGTTTTCATTAACAAGTTTCCGTAAATCTACCATGAAAACTAACATCTGTTACAGAACAACAAAATTCCCAAGAAAGTATTATTATATAAATTCAGTAATACTAGTGCGCAGTTTTGTTTTAGTAGGTGACCTTGGCCGTGAACGCCGTGGGGCGACGCGCTCCAGCGGCCATGTTGAATTGAAACCGTGGAGAGTAATGAAACTGCATGAAATTATAAACGCATTCTTGCCAATTTGATTTTTTAAACAGTGCACCCATAACAACCAATAAAAGCCTGATATGAAGAGGCGAGGAGAATCAAAAATGTGCCATACAACACAACCACACACAAATATAATTTAGCGAATGATACGCATTCCAATAATTTTACATTTCATTTGGGTAAAATACTAAAAAATAAACGGCAAAAACTTTAAACGTGACAATAAAAATTTTTCACAGTTCATATTAACGATTTGAACTTACTGACTACCTACCTACACTAACAAAACAGAAATCAGAAGAAAATGTCAACTTAGCAACAGTCTGAGCATTTACAAACGATAAAATCGGAACAGGAAATATTTTGATTATATCATTCACGTTAGATGTAATAAAACTGCCTGAATGTGTTCCTGAGCAAAATCATAAACATAATAACGACTCGAATTCAGTAGATGTTGCGAAATTGCAGATTGTGAAATAGTGTGCTGGCTGACCGGTCAACGCTCGCTCCGTATAACGTGAACTTTGGCATTTTCTTATACCATACATCCTACGGGTTTTTTATTCTAAATCTTTTAATTATAGTACTGACATTATAAAAGCAAACAACATTGCCAACGTGGAATTTCCATAGTAGAATGAATATACTGCACTAAAGTGCAATAACAATCACGTTCACGTCACTAGGCGGTCATAAAATTCTAAGTTTAAAATGCATTGAGTGTGGTCAGTATTTTACAGTACATCTATAGATTAATAACTACAATAACTTTATGCAAACAATCAAGGACAAATCAGTAATAATTTGTTTATCTTAAACATGAAAATTGCTAATGGTCGTAAAGTTTGGCATAGGTAATTATCGGGAAAATGAACAGCTGATTGCAGAATCAAAACAAATTAATCAAAAGGCTAAATTTATTGAAGGTGTGATATAGGTACCGGCACATGACGCAATCGGTGATATAAAGTATACAATTGATCATGATGAAGCGTTTATGAATGATAATGCTGAACAAAATGATGAAACGCAAAGAAATACATGTAAACATTTATGAATCATTTATCATTGTCATTTTAATAATATATCACTAAAAAATTTATTTTTTACATTCGATTAAAAAATTTGGAAAAAAAAAGAAAATTTTCAGAACTTTCAGTAAACTTCAAAGCAGCATATCTAAAGCAGATTTTATAAGATTCTAATTAGCAATTTCATATTCGAAGCTCTAAGTGACTAAAATAATTACAAAATAAGTTGTAATGGTTGCTCATTTTAAAATACAAAGAATTTCAAAACAATAACAGTAATAATATGCAAAATCAACTACGCAGTACGAAGAAAAGCCGGTCAGGCAGATGTTTGAAAATATCGTGTGTGACTTGCGCTAAATGAGCACCCATCGCATTGAATTATGCAAAGTCGACTTACCGCTATCTACACTCTCTTCTGAAACCTTCTTCACCATCCTGATTGCTTGATGCGTTGATACAGCGATATTGAGAATTATAACGAGTAGGTGTACTACTCTTGAAAAGCCGCTTTCAAACTTGTGGCGGCCGCCTTCTCGACGTGAAATCGGAACGGCGTTAAAGTTTAATATAGAAAATAAACGCCAAAATAAAAATTATAAAGCACCACGGTCGAGAAGGATTTACGGAAAATGTGCCGGAAGGTAATAAACAAACACTGCTAGAAGGCGGAATGAAAAAAACTGCTGGTGTCGTTAGCGATCCATCCTACACACGCCCGCCCGTCCGATGTTCTTAAATCCAACTGAAGACTCGTTCTTACAGCCGGCTCAAACCCGGCGCGCACATACACAATCCCCCCTCCCCCTTCACCGCTCCCCCAATCTCCGCCGTTCGCAAAGCTGTGTTTATTGTAGCCTCTCTCTTCTGCGCGCATGCGTGCTCACTCGCACTGCTGACGTGTTTATATTTTTTGTCGTTCATTTTTTCTCCACGTCGCTCGTCGTCGTAACTATCAATATATAATATATAAAGTACACATGATTATATCATGCCATCCAAGTATATAAAATCGCCAGATGTTACATTTCAAAGAAACAAAACCTTTAGAACGCTTCATCCCATTCCCATGTAGATATGAAGGTAGTCGTGAAAATTTAGGCTTTTCAATGATATTCTTATAAGAATATTTACTAAGTGGAAATCTAGGAAAATTCACATTTTATGTTTTTATTTTTAGATATAATAATGTTATAATAATAATTGACTATTAAACGAGTAATGAAAATACAATATGATTATATCTAAGTATTTTCCCGAAAATGCGCAGTTTTCCAACGATATTCGTATAAGAATATTAAAATGAATTTATTTTATTTTTATAAATCGTGATTATACTAATTATTAGATGAGCAAACATTTGAAAATCATACAATTTAGCCCTTGTTTCATCAGCATTACCTTGATGATTAACGCGTAGGCTACGTTATCATCAAGCTGTGCTAAATTCTCAATCTGAATGAACGAATCAACGAAAACATTCGCACACGTATATTACAACGCCTTTCAAATAAAATCTAAAGAAGTTTTTCTGATAGCGATTATATTTTTTGGTCCTACAACTCTTTATTTATAAACGTTGTTATGCAACAGGGATTCCTTTGTCTTCCTAACCCTCCCATGGATGACCTTCACAGGGCATTTGTTGACAAACAAGATACGGGGAACAAGCGCAGAACGCAAAACGCACGTGGTACGGGCCAACCGGTCCAACCGGCAACCGGCGCCGCCATGTTTGTTTGTTGTCACGCCACGTCTCTGTCCCCCTCTAACATGAAGCACTTCTCTTTCTCATTCGCTGTCTCTGTTTACAGAGCCTTCTCGCTCGCTGGCCTACGTGACCGACAATAACAATAACATAACCCTAACAGATAGTACTGCAAGTCAATAAAGAATTACCGCATACATAATATGGCTTCTCTTCAATTTTGCAGTATTATTATCAACTTATTGAAATTCAGCACGGTTTTAGATATTTTAGCATTCCCATTTCATCGAAGAGTAACAATGCTATCTATGTGTGAACAGAACAATCAGGTGTTCTCCAAAACAGTCAACTGTAAACAAAATAGACAGCAGAATAGATGATACAATGATATCGCCTCATGTGGGTACATAGGCATTATCTTAAAAAACATTGTCAGATGATCTAATTTAGCCAGCCAACAATCTGCGCCACTTAGTGGCATGATGTGGTTTGAGTAATGATGTCAATATTTTCAAAGTTGGGTAAGCTGTTCTTACATTACCGTTTGGCAGGTAATATGATTAAGCGTAATGTCTAATTCTATTGAAGCCAAAAGTCTGCAAATTCGCGTAATTTGTTGCGTAAAGGATATCTGAACATTTTAGGTCAATTTGTGGGGTTTCCTGTGTCCGGTTTAAGGTGTAGCGTAATTTCTGAGAATTTACGCAAGGGTATAACAAAGCAACGGTTTTGTATTCATAAAAAACTGTTAACACTGGGGTGAGAGAAACGTCATTCGTTTTATAGATGTGTAGAAGGGGGTGGGACAACAGAATCCTACTGCGCAGTAGTAACCCGGGGATCCTTTTCTTTGTTTTGTTTTGGTTTAAGGTAGCGATTTCGTACAAAGGCCTATATTACTTAATCCGTAGTGTTTTTTAATGACACAGATATATACAGATTTATTTCGAACCGAGGTAATTGGACTATTTTTAAAAATAAGTCTGCAACAATAGCATAACAGCAAGGCTAACCTGTTTTTAAAACCTTCCAAATGATAGCGTTAATATCTGCATCTTCATCCATCGTTAAGGAATCCTGGAACAAAAGACAAAGCTTACTTAAAAACTCGAAGTCTTTGTGTTGAGCTTGCGATGAGCTCCTAGTTCTACCCACACTCAGTTAAATAATTCGATTCTAAAACGCAATTACATAACCGTGTGGCAAGCACTCCTCCCTGGAGCTCGTTTATAGCTAGTTGTAAATCTATTCATCCAAAATTTATTTGATGGCCCCTCAACCAACTTTTACGACGTACATTGAGCTTAAAGAGCAAAGAAATAAAGTCTCAATTCAAATAATTCGCTATTGAAAGGCATCTCTAGTTCATAGATGAGCAAGGACTGCAGAAGGGTATTCCCGAGATTTTTTTTAGCTTTTTGTGTTGAATCTTTGAATAAGGTTGAATTCAACATTTGATCTGATCACGTACGCCAGAGAATCGGCCGCACCTGACGTTGGGACAATGAAGTGTACCCAAAAAAATACTACTTTACGAGACCCGTAAGGTATAAAGATTATTATTACTCACGAAGAAGTATCAGGCTTAGCTAAAATACGACGTTGTTATGATACCCAAAACGTAAACAACCAGAACATAATTATAATATACCCGTCCAAAACTGTGAGAATTGATCGTAATTTTCTCAGAAAGATGACATGATATCAACAAATAATTTACGTAATCCGCGTATTCATACTTAGCGAATATACTCTAAAATATTAAAACAAATAGAAGACTATCCAAATATTTACTTTGAACTGAGGGACTCTTAGAAAACAGATATACATAAGTACATACCAACATACATTTATAAGACGAGTACATTCAAATTCAAGAATAGATAGGTAACGATTTATTTAGTGTTAGGCATAATTGGGACATTATGGCGTTCTTTTCAAAGACAAAAGTGCAACACCAGGTTATGTCATTGCTTATAGAATATTAATAAGGGGACCATGAATAAGTCATACAGTGTAATCAGAAAAGGCTGTCACCGACCGAAATAGATTTGTGCAGAAATGCTATATATTATGTGATATTGCAGAATAATCTCGAAGAGATCGGAAATATGAATGAATGATAAAATAAATGATACATTTTGGAATAAATTGGGAAGAAAGAGTTGATAATCCGACAAAAGAAACTTTATTGAAATCTTTGCTAAAAGTAATATGAAATGTCTGCATTCGCATAGCTTGACATACGTGTACGCATTGTATTTTCCACATAGTGCAAAGAATTTCTAGACATAACAATAGGCAACAGAAACGCAATAGACTGTTGTCTTATGATTTTACTCATTATACGACGAATACAGTGGCCATAACGAAAGTCGGTACGCACCGTGAAAAATTTCTAAATCAAAGACAATTACCGAAGCGAACACACATTAATAAATAAGATGGATACAATAGGGCAGTACTTCGTCCCTTCTTAATATTTTATTATTAATCTCAGACCAATAAAAAGCTTGTGTGTACTTTTTGCATATAAAAACTAGATCAACATCGGCTCATCCCTTCAATCCATTCAGGGAGTTACACGTCACACTTTTGAAAACCGGTGGAATCTCAAAAATGGTGACGTGGAACGTTTGTATTGGTCGTAAAAATACAACTACCTGCATCTATAAAGTAAAGCAATAATATAAAGTAAAATTTTGGACAGCAAGTAACTTTAGAACAGGTCACTATAGGTGATTAATCAAATCATGTAGATTTGATTAATCAACTATAGTGACTTCTGGATGTCCGCACAGCGAAATAAAATTCGCATGAATTTATTTTCGCACCGCGTCGCGATAAATCGCAAGTGATATCGCCAGTGTGGATACTTCCATAATATTTAATATGTTGCAGAATTGCGAAATATGTATGTAAATTCACGCGAATTCCATCACTGTACAGGCTCTTTCTCTTTCCAAAGTTCTTGTTCTAGTAAAGTAATTCAGTGTTCTTTGTGTAATTGTTACACCTAAAAACTAGATCAAAAACGGTTCATCTCTTAAATCCATACAGGGAGTTACACGTCACACTTTTGAAAACCGATGGGATCTCAAAGTGGCGTGTAACGTTTGTTTTGGGGGTAAAAAAACATAACTACTTGAAATTTCTTCGTAGTCTTTATTAACGGTGGCATAAAGTTAAAATTAGGAGAGCAGATACATTTTTAACCTAAACAAGTAGAAATACACTTGCGGGGTTGTCAAACGGTTTCATTTAAGTTTCACTGTATCCAAAATTCTTCTTCTAGTAATATGTAATCTAGTTGGGTGTTTTTGTCTAAAAATAAAAGATCAAAATTGGTTGATCTCTTAGATCCATTCAGGGAGTTACACGTCACACTTTTGAAACTGGTAAGATCACAAAATGGTGACGTGGAACATTTGTATTGGGGGTAAAAAAACATAACTACGTCCAACATCATCGTAGACTCTATTACCGATGATACAAAGTTCAAATTAGGACAGCGTGTTAGTTTTCAATGTAAATGTTCCCAAATACCACTTACGGGTTAGAAAATGTTTCAATTAATTAGCTTAACTGTTTCCAATCCAAAATTACTTTTCTAGTAAAGTAGTGTAATGTTCCTTGTGTATTTTCGCATGTAAAAACTAGACCAACTCGGCTCATCCCTCAGATCCATTCAGGCAGTTCCACGTCACACTTTTGAAAACCGGTGGAGTA